TTCTAATCACAAATGTATTCCTTTTTTCAATTACTTCCACTTTGTTTCTCTAGAAAAGTCTGTCCTTTTTACTTGATATTTTACAGTTGTTCTTGATGTTCTTGAGTTCACCTGAAAAGAAACACTTATTCTGAAAAGTCTTTTATTCTGGAAGTTCATCTCCACTGAGAGGATGTGGATGCCTCGTGGTAAGGCAAGCCATTCTCTTCAGGATCTCATGGATGAGAATCTAATGCTTCACTTTTCTTCATTTGGCTTGAAGGATTTCAGTAAAGTGAAAGAAATCAAATGAATACTAGGAGAGATGAAGCCTCTTCCATAAAGCAATGTGGCTGTGACTGTGACAAATACCCTTATTGCTGGCATTGCATCTTCCAAGATGACAGGGTGGTTTTTTTTTTGCAATTATTTGGAAGGTTTTTTTATTTGCTTGCTGTTTTTTTGGTTTTTTTGGGGGGGGGGATTTGGGAGGGAAGCAGGAGGGAGGGGATTGGTTCTATGTGTAGACCGTTTCCATACATCTTACTGGTTTTATTTTTTTCTGTGTATATCCATGTCCTGCCTCACCACACCTAATGGCTCCTCTTGGAGCTTCAGATAGCAAAGTGAAAAGTCCCCTCAAATGCTCTCAGATCTCATGACATCAAAGAGCTCTTGTAGCCAGAGACATCACAGCTGTCACCATAGCCAGAGATAACTGCAGGTGAAGTGGGGACTGGTAGAGCAGATTGCAACCTTTCTCATATCAAATCCAGGCCAGAATACCTCTATCTTTTTAAGTGATTATTTTCTCAACCCTCTCCTGTCAAGACAGCACACGATGTTAGTTAGCACTTTTTCTTCTCAGAGCAAGCATGCCTGCCAAGCTCACAGAGGAAATAAGTGGTAATGACAGGAACTGAGCCCAATTATCTGAAATCCTGATCTTAGTTCAGATGCCTTGTGCTTACAATAGTGTCACAACACAGGTTCTTCCTGCAGGCTTTTCTATACACAAGAGTGAGGACTGTCACTGCCATCCTCAGCTGTCAGAACACTGCAAACATTTTCAGTAAACATGTTACTATATGTCTAAATTCTGAAATACTTATGTGGTTTTCAATCAGATTTTCAATCTTTTTTTTCAAAGAGAGTATGTGAAAAGATTACAGCATGTGGCCTATTCTGAGATGCAAAGTGCTACAACATTGAGTACACTGAGAGAAACCACAATACAACACTGGCATCCCTCTCCATACTCGCATTTCATCTCTACAACAGCTGCAGCAGTGTCAGAAACTCTACACTGTACAGATTAACCACAGCAGGTAATTTCATGAGAATTTTTGTAGGCTGAACATAATGCATCATTTGATAGAAAATACGGTTTTCAGTATTGTTTAGCTCCTATGTATTTACGAGGAGGATTATCTAGCTTTATTTTCTATTCATTTTTACTAGATTTGTGCATTAATTACTCTCCTTATGACCTCTCCACAAGATTTCACCATCTGGTTGACCTGGGCGCAGCCACTGTTTGGAAGAAGTAGAGATAGTGCACAGTTTGCTTCGGATTCCCTAAACCTAACCACTGCCGTGCCCAGAGCTGACTTATCTGATGCAAGTAGGCCAGCCAAAATTTCTTTGAAAGCGTTGAGCATGTACAGCTTCAACAAGAGTGCAGGAAACACTCTCAATATAGCAGTTAATGACTAACTGGGGGGCTGAAAGAACTGATAAGAGACATCTGGTTCAGACAGTGAATGCCAGTTGAGTATGTGCTTAAAGAAAAAATATATGATCATGAGTCAATTATCTTACTCTGTAAATAACAAGAAGCACAAAAGCCCCTTAAGCTCTTCTGCAGGGCAGCAGGCTGCATAGCAGGATCTCCCCTTGAGAAGGATGCCTCTTGTGGTTTTGACTGCGCAGAGATCCCTTATGCTTTGGCATCAAGACATGTTGCTGATGCACATCTTTAGTAAGTGACTAACTGTACTGAGCTTCAATAGTTTCACTGAGATTATACCTCAGATTGATGGTAAGCTTTCTTACCTTCACTAAGATTACATCTTAATTGCTTGTGCACAGAGGATCCCTTAGACATAAACCACTGACCAAGCCTGGAACTAAGAGTGGATCTAGCCATGCCTAGATTCCTTATCTCTGTGGTTCAATGAGTTTAAGGTCCTCTCTGAACCTCTTGACTCAGTGGGAGGAGCTCCTCCTATTATGGTTTAACCTGGCAGACAGCAGAACATGGCACAGCCATTTGTTCAGTCACCCCTTCAGTGGGATGAGGAGGAGAACTGGAAACAAAATAGAATTCATGAGTTAAAAAAAAATTTCTAAGTAAAAAAAAATAATAGGATATAGAAAGAAATATCTGATTATAACTATATATATATATATATTCACAATGCAATTACTCACAACCCATTGACCAACACTCAACTAACAGGGCAACTGTTTGCCAGCTCACACTTCTCTAGCAACACAATGTCTCACTACCCACCAATCAATGTCCAGCTAGACCATGAGCAACATCCAGTCCCCAGCTAACTTCCCACAGCTTTATGGCCTTCAGTATGACGTCATGTGGTATGGAATTATCCCCTCCCAAATCGAGGCCATCTGCCCTGACTCTGCCTCACACCCTCTTGCAGTGCCACAAAAACAGCAACTCTTCCCCACTGAGGAGCTGAGCCCAGCGCAGACCCCATCATTCAGCAGTAACCAAACACTGGTGTGCTATTAACAATGACTCAGCTGAAACCAGGATAATATCCAACCCTTTTTCCATATAATTTATATCATGCTCCCACACTTTCCCAGACATCCTGATTAATGACACCAATATCATTTCCATAGTCTGTGGGCCAACCCTGTAAAATGTCCATGGAACTCATTTAGTCTGACTTGTGCTCCATCTATCACAACAGCCCTTCAGGGCAGAAGAGATAATGCACGATGCTGGATTGTTGCATGCTGGAGCCAGTTCCGGTTTGAAGAAAAAGGTCAAAATTCATTAATATGGGTGACTCTTACTGTAGTACTGTTGATAAGGCATATAGCAACCTTAACAGTGATTACATGCAGTATTACATAACTCAAATTATTGGCTCTTCTCACCAACATCAAAACTCCTTAAGGTACACACCAGAATTCACCATTCTCCTGCATTACTCACCAAGTGCAAAAGCTATTCCTCTAATAGCCTTGCTGTTGCCCAAAGCACTCGTAACACTGGAAGTCTTGTCCAGCATGTTTTTCAGAACAGCAGGGACTCTGTCTCCTTCTACAGTACATAAGAGCTTTGACTAAGCAAGGCCAGCTCAATTGGTAGTTGAGTTCTTTCTCATGTTCGTATGGAACCTTGTACTGTGTTCCAGTTTGTGTCCTGTTGCTGGGCACCACTAAAAAGAACCTAGTCCCATCCACTTGACTTCAAACCTTCTGATATTTATAAGCATTATTAAGATCACCTCAGCCTCTCTTCTCTTGGCTGCACAGTCTCAAATCTCATGAGGCCTTTTCTCATGAGGAAGATGCCCATGGCATTGATCATCCTTGTAGCCCTCTACTACACTCTCTCCAATAATTCCCTGTCTTTCTTGTACTGAGGAGCCCACAACTGGACACAGTATTCAAGACGTGCCTTCCCAGGGCAAATAGGGGCAGAAGATAAACTTCCTTGCCCTACTAGGCCACGCTCTTTGAATGGAATCCCAGGGTACCTTTGGCCTTCCTGGCCACAAGGGCACACTGCTGGCTCATGGCCAACCTGAAATCCATTAGGACACCTAGGTCCTTCTCTGCAGGGTTCCTGCCCAGCAAGTCAGCCCCTAACCTATACTGATGTGTGCAGTTATTCTTCCCCAGATGTAGCACTCTACACTTGCCCTTGTCCAGCCTCACTAGTTTCCTCTGCCCAACTTTCCAGCCTGTTTCTGGCTTGTTTCTCCTTCTACACTGCTTTAACTTGAAGATGATGAGAAGCTGGCCCTTGGTTTTTTGGGTGTGAGAAAGCTGCAGACACCATCCTAGCTGCATCTCCTCTGACTATGCTGCAGTCTCAGCTGCACCCTGGCAGTGCAGTGCCTTTCCTTTGCACTCACAGCCCTGGGTGAGATGGGAGCAGCCACACACCAACTGGTCAGATGTGCTGTTATGTCAATCTTTCGAGCCTCATGTTGGGTGCTGAAAGGAGTGCTGTGTTTTAATCCAGCAGGCAACTGCACACATAAGAACCATTCGCTCACTCACCCTCAGATGGACAAGGGAGAGAACCGAAAATAAAATAGAACTCATTGGTTGAGGTAAGAGCTATTTAATAAGACAGAAAAGAAAAACAGAAACAAAAATGAAGTGGGAACTATCTATATGTATACTATATCCACAATTATTCACCACTTGCTGACTGACACCTGGCATATCCTTGAGCATCAGCATGCCCTTAGCCAACTCCCCACAGCTTTACAGCCTTCCACATGATGTCACATTGTTTGGAATAACTTCATGCCTAATTCAGGCCGGCTGTCCTGGCTCCGTCCCATCCCCTGCTGTTGTGCCATCCTGGCAGCAGCTCTTCTCTGCTGAAAGGCCTGGGCAGGTATCTATTACTCTCTAATAATGAAAACATCTGCGTGCTTTTTACACTGCCTCAGCTGAAACCAGAACCCCGATATGTGTTGTGTTTAACCCTGCCCTCCACGCAGTAAATAATCTAGTGTCTCTAGTCATCTTGAATCTTGTTGACACACTGTTAAATCACTGCATTATATCTGTATTATATGAGTAAATATATTTCTGCTTCTCTCTTACAAGTGAAGTGTACAGTGTAGTTGCTTCCACATGCAATATCATAAAAACAGAAAAAATTGAATGGCAACTCCTTGGAAGTTTTCTGAGTACTTGTGAGTGAAAAACAAGATTCTGATACGCACTCAAGGCCAGGCTGGATGTGGCTCTGGGCAGCCTGGTCTGGTGGTTGGCGACCCTGCCATAGGAGGGGGGTGAAACTCGATGATCACTGCACCTTTTCAACCCAGGCCATTCTGTGATTCTGTGATGATAGCTCGAGTGTACTGAATAACAAAAAACTCTCTATTTCTCGCCAGAACCACGCCCAGGACAGTCACCTCCCGCCGGTGCGGGATGAAGGTCCTGCACACTATCCCCAGCGCAGGAATTCGGGACTTCTTTCCCCAGATCAGGTTTTCCCTTCAGAGCACCAGAAGCTTCGAGTGAACGTCACTCCCTACAATGACAGCGCCCTGCCTGAAGCACTAAACGCTCCGGAACGTTACACCGCCGTCCCACCAGGCGGCAAGCAGCTCCCGCTCCGCACGAGCCCCGCGGACGGACCCACGGCCACGCCCGGCGCGGGGCGGGGCGGCAGCGGCTGCCGGCGGCCAACATGGCTGCGTTGGCAACGGTTTGCGTGGCGGCCTCGGGGCAGCAGCAGCAGGTAAAAGCCCGAGCGGAAAGCCCGCCTCGCCGGCTGCCCTTGGAGAGCAGAGCGCGCAGCCAGGGCGCGGGCGGCTCATCCAGCCGAGAGGCGGGAACGCCCGGCGCGTGGCGGGAGAGCTGCGTTCGCTCCCTGTGCCGGGAGCAGCTGTGAGCCGGCCTCGCTCCCCGCCCGGGGCGGCCGTCCTCTGCGGAGCCCCGCAGCGCCGCTGGTGTGCCGGGCTGGCTGCGAAATAGGAGGCTCGCAAGTTGAACGTGCGGTTTGACAGTCCTGAGCGATAGAGCTGCAAAATTGCTGTGAATTAAGTGTTAACAGTTTGCGAGGAATATTAAGCAGGTTTTAGAAGTCAGGCCAGCGTGCTTTCCTTGGACGAGATGGCACAGTCTGCCTAACGCTGGTTGTGTGCTTACCACCAAGCGGTGAGTTACCTCTGAATCTTCAGGTAAAAGCAGCCATGAAGGCGAGGCTGCAGGTGCAGTTCAGTGAGATCAGCTGTCTCTGCTAAAGTGAGCTGCTGTTCGTTCCATTTCTCTGCGGAAGGATGCCTTCTTATATACACACCTCGGTTTTCCATCCCATCACTTTTGCACCAACGTGACTTGAAGTTATTTGAAGTACAGCAGTGTAAAACTGAAGTCGTGTTGTGCACGATCTCAGCATTGTCTGCTTGAAAACAACCAGTATTTAAAAATAAAATACTGTTTTTGAATAACGTTTTGTCTTGTTTTACAGAATGACAGTTTTTTCAGTGCTGCAGGTGCTGCTCGACAAATTCAGAACTGCAAGATGAAAGCTGAACAAGCTAAGAAAACAGAATTTGTAAGAATAGCAGAAAATTTAAGAACTCAGTAAGCAAAAAATAAAATAAAATAAAATCTTAAGTGTATTTTCATGCTGTTCTGAAGGTAGTATCTCCAGTATGAGGAAAGCCTGAGACGTGGGGCTCTTTGGTGTAAAGAGGAGGCTGAGAGGGGATCTCACCACTCTTTACAAATATCTTAAGTATGAGAGTCAGGTTGTTGGGTGTGGACTCTGTGAAAAAGAGTGATGGGCAGAAACTGGAACACAGGAAGTTCCATACAAACACAAGGAGGAGCTTATTTATCCTGAGAGTAACAGAGTGCTGGAACAGGCTGCCCAGAGAGGTGATGGAATCTCCTCTGGAGATATTTGAGACCTGTACACTTTCCTGTGCAACCTAGTGTAGGGAACCTGCTTCTGTGGGGGTGCTGGACTCTACAGTATCCAGAGGTTCCTTCCAATCTCTGTAATTCTGTGACTCTATAATATAAACTATGCTTCAAGGTAATAATTCATGGTAATTAAGTATTGAGGCTACAGTTTCATTTGCAGAATTCCAGGTAGATTATTATGATTGTTACAGTAATTTAGGATAAGCTTCTGAGCTCTGACGTTGCCCCTTGTTCTAATTACCACCTGGACTTTGATCAGTTGTCTCCTTCAGTTTGCTAATGCTCCAGTTGATTCACAAAAATGGAAGTGCCTGTGGCATTACTTGGTTCCCTGTTTTTCTACTTGGGTGTGCTGTGCATGCAGCATTATTGAGTTCTTACTTTTCCTACTTAACTGTGCTTACCTTCCTAAGGAATTAAAGCCTTTAAAACATCTCAACAAGGCAGAAGTTGTGGCAGCATTAAAGGAGCTTCCTCACAGGAAATTGAGAGCACTTCTAGAATATTGATGCTTTAGAAAATGGGAATTTTGGACAGCTCAAGCAGAGAAGTTATTTAAATGTGTTTCCCTATGCCTTGAGTAAGGGCTGTAATAACTGTTCAGGCGGTTGAAAGAACAGTATCCTTCTTGAACAGGTGAGCTTTATGAGGAAGATGTGGATTAGCCAGCCAATTCCAGCTGGCAGAAGTTTGTAATTAGAAATCTTGAATGAACTGTGTTGTCATATGGAGGCACCTTGCCATTTGATTAGATCAGCTCCTCTAGTTATCCTGGATCCCGGATAATGGCTCAGAAGTTGACTGCTGAGTTATGTAGGGATTCTCAAGCAGCTTTAAACAAAGTGATTTGGGTGCCATTAACTATGGCACATTTCAGTCATTCTGTAGTTGTGCTCTTAAGGCTTCCTGTGTGCTGTGTGAGATTTTATCGCTCAGGTTTGGTCCGTGAACTCCAGTGGGCAGCAAAGCATTTAAACTATGAAGGCATCTCTGTGTTGTGTAGAGGATTGAACTACACAGCAGCTATAGCCTACTGTAGAACCAAACTCATTCTGAGAGACAGGGTTTTTTGGGTTGTCATTAGTTCTTGACACTGCTAACTCTGTTGCATCTCTGTTCAGCATGGCATCAGCATGTACTGCTCTGATTTCTTAATGGTAGCACCAAATTACACAGATGTGCTATGGACTACAGTTTCTGTGGTGCTTTTGCATCTGTGCTTCTCTGGGTCAAATTTTAGCAAACTGCCTAGCTGCAGTAGAAAAAAGCAGAAAATAGTTTGAATTGTATTTGAAAATTTCTTACTCTGGTAAAGGAAACAAATGTACAGGACTGAATCTGTATGTGACAAACGGTAGCAGCTTTACTATTTTGAGTTATTCTAATGCTAATGAACTTGAATTTGAATATTAAGTTGCAGTAGTACTATTGCCAGTGGAAATAACCCTGAGGGAACACACTTGTTTTGTCTTTGCTGGGGCTCCATCTATGTGTGCAACTGCAGTAATACAGCCTGTGTCCCATCAGTGCTTTCTTCTCATAAGGCTCCCTAATAAGTATTCATCATACAGATAAGGCTTCACACTGTTTTACTGGGAGACTTTCACTTGAGAACAGTTGTAGGACCAAACCAGTAAATAGTATAAAATATAAGATGCTTCTGCTGATATGGTATCATCTATATACTAATGTTGGAAAATTCTACTGTTTTGCAAAGTGTTGCTTGCTTAGTGTGCCAATATTATTTTTTCAGGCTTGCAAATGTACAGAAGGACAAAACTGGATGTCTTTATAATAGGAAGAGTGATTCCAGAGCAGAATACAGCATTCTAGAAGAAATGGAACGTAAAATGTCTGTCAATAGGAAAACTGAAAGTAAGATAATTTTTGGGGGGGTGTTGCTTTTATTTGTTTTTTTTTCTTCTGTTTACTTGCTGACTTTTACAGTTGTTTGCTTAATTTGTTGATTCTCAGTATTAGAAAGATTAGTGTGGTTGAGAGGTAGATTCTGATTAAAGTGTGGCATCTTACTGATGCTTGTAAGGAACAATTTTTTGATTCGCTTTCAAAATTCAGTAGCATAAACATCTTGAGCCTTCTCTATTATTGTTTTCTTTTAGTGTTAAATGCAGCAGACACCACTCACAAAAATTTAGGTGAAATTTAAATTTTAGGAAAAAAAAATAGAAGCAATATTGTTTAGAAACTTAGAAGCAATATTGTATGTTTAATTTAGATTTCCTATGTCAGTCATTTCTCAGTCTATCTCAATCACTCTGTACTCTTGCTAAGATACATAAAAGAAGGTTTCTCTAAACTGATTACTGCCTACAGACAGGCTTTTGAATTCTTCAGTTCTGTGGCTGCATTTTTTTCTTTCTTGGATAATAAATATTTCTAGTGCAGATAGTTCTGTGAGATGATAAACATAATGTGTCCTATATAATCTTATTCCACTGCCATACTAATTAAATGGTGAAAGACAAAAAGTGACAACCTGGATGAAGTACCTAAATTCTTTCAAAAGTAATCAAATCATGCTATGCCTTTTGATACAGAATATCAAAACTATATAAGTTGAATAAGGGGAAGATTTCAAGGAGACAACTGGAAATGCACTTCCCTCACAAATCTGTATGTATTTCAATATGGATGTCTTAACTGGCAGATCTTGTCCTGTTTCTTATATTTTACAATAAGAAATGTAAATATTTCCAAGGAATGACTAAGCTAAAAAGATCAGAAAATGGTTCAAGTGTAAGGAGAAGTATGAAAGTATGGGTATATATACTGTTGTAAGATAAAAAGATAAAAACAGAGTTTTTAAGTTTTAACTAGACGTGAGATGTGAAAGTGTTAGAGTGGAATCTTCTGGGCATATATTATAACTCCCAGACTTCTCATTTACTGTGCTACTGTGCTAAGGTCTTTCAGCACAACCTATGCGTTTCTACTTGTTCTGTAGTTTTACTGTGAATTAGTAGGATCACGTATTAGCTGTGTTTCATTACATTTAGATTTTGGACTCTATTATTTCTCTTCCTTTAAACCAATCCTTTTAGGATAGAGGACTCTTTAGTACCTTAACATGGCCCAGAGCTTCATGCTAATTAATAGTGTCTACAAACTCATAAAGATCTAAATGGTAACAAAGTAAATAAGCACATGCATGCTTGAAGTTCCTGCAAACATTAATTCTACTTCAGTTAACACCGCAAATACCATATGATTTATAACTAGATTTATGTAATTTGTTTCCTTTATTACTTCAAGTTTGTTCTGAGGCCTAGGAGAGGGTCTGACTCACAACTGTGATGGAGTTGCTTTCTTTACAGGCAGTATTGTTCTCCTAACTCCAGTTACATGATAAAAGATTAGAGAAAATTGCATTAATCTGTATGTGACTACACCGTTGACACCTTTGCCAATAGAAGCTACTAATTTTAAAGCCTGATGAGGAGATGTGTAGTATGCACACTCAGCTACATGTAGTTACAGTTATGTTAAAATGGGTGGTATAAACAGCAGTTTCATGTGATTAAACAAAACTTACTGCTTGAACGAATTTACTAGTTTGTTTTGGATGCTTCACTGCTTTTAATCTTGCATGGAATTTATTAGACAAAGAAGCCATTAGAACTACCAGCACTTTATTTTGTTTAACAGAAACTAAAATCCTGCAGCAGCTAACAAAAATACGTAATAATGTGAAGAGACTTCAGCGACAATTAGAAGATGTGAAACCTACGTCAGAATGTAAGTCATGCAGACAGATTTTAAAACCTTTTCTTTCATAGACAGGTTCCTTTGGATATTGCTTATGATTCTCTTACAGTCTTTGGATATACTTCTGTGGTTTGTTTGCTCTTCTAGAAATCTGGGAAGGGAGAGATAAGGAAGGAGAAGTGTCAGAAATGGTAAAACCTCTTGCAGTTCTCAGCAGGAACTGAGAAATACATGTTGTCCCAGAAGTTACATGGGTTTGTTTTTTCAGGATGTTGAAAGTCAGGTATTTTCTATGTGCTTTTTTTTTTATGTACAGTAGTTTTGCAGTGCAGTTTATCATCTGATAGACAGTCACGGAGTATCTTCATGGAACTCATTTCAAGCTATTCACAGACCATCTAGCTTGAAGCGCAAGCAGAAATATTCTGTATGAAATGCTGAGGCAACTTGTTTGGTTTGATTTGAACATCTTGGGAAATAAGCACTAAAAGAAACATTCTCTTCTAAATCTACTGCACTGTAATTGAACTCAAGCTGAAGCTTCTGTAGCAGCTGAGGATGCTAGATGAAATGCATGTCATTTCATTTACTGAGTGTCTATACTGTAAAAAAAAAAAAAAGTATTCTTCCTTAAGCCATTAGCAAAGATGCCAGAACAAGATGTAAGTCGAACTAAAAGTTACAGATGATATGTTATCAATTAATTAGGTCCAAATTAAGTTAAACTGTGTTCACTGCATGTGTAGGGTTGTTCTGCAGATTTAAAACACACACATTCTAAAACATCTGTCTACCATCGCACAAAAGATTTTCTCTAGACAGCAGGCTTACCCTCTCTCTGCAGGTGAAGTTTACAGCATACCGACAGAATACAAAGTCTTACTTTCTGAAGTTACTTTGTAAGCCCAGCTTTGAATAAAGCAGTGAGCTGTAGGTTAAATATAGTTGGTACAGTCTGGTGTGAAAAAAAGATTAGAATGTGCTTTCTAAGTCACTAACTGCATTGTTATAAAAGACAAAAGTGGAAACTCTTTACTTTAGGATAAGGCTGTCTCATTCTCTGAATCAAAGATTACCCAGAATAAGAATCTTGTTCAACTGAAGTAAACATTTATAGCAAGATTTGTATTTAGTTGACTAAGTCGCTGTGAAATCATGCCTTCTGAATAAATGAAAGTCTTGTAAGACAGAGGTAGAATTGTGGCTTTTTTTGTATTCTGAAATAAAAAAACATTTCAGAATCCTTTATATTCTTTACAATGATGGATAATGGAAAATTATTACTAAATGTTTTAAACTTCTCAGGTGATATGTTCTTATTTTCCTTTTTAGTTGTTGACAAGCTCAAGGAAATGTTGGAAGAAATTGAAAATGCAGTCAATACTTTTAAAGATGAACAGAGACAAATGTATGTTTATGCCTGCTTCAGTTACAAAAATGCTTTCCTCACACACAATGAAAGCTTTGTATCTATTAAGTAAACTATTGTTTTTTCTCTTAAGTAAACTATTTATTGTTCTCTTTTGCTAGTGACTTCTGTGGTATGTCAATCAAAACTCAAACAGTTAACATTTTTATTTTAATCAACAGCCTTTCAAAGAGGCTGTTAATATAGCTGTTGCATGGTTCAACATAACAATCATTTGCTTATGAAAAGGCTATTCAGAGAAAAGCAGCAGGACAGATTAGATTGTTTGTTTGTTTGTTTAAGTGAGTGAATTTTTCTCTTTTCTCTCTTGTGTCAGGAGAGGATTGAGTGAACTGTTTGCTTTCCATATGTGTACATTTCCAGTAAAAGGATAACTTAATTCAAATTGTATTGTGCTTCACTTGGAATCACAACAACTATGTTCTCTTCTGTGTTACCATGTCAGTTCTTAATCTTTCAAGAATATTTTTTTTGTGGCATTGAGCAGTTCCAAAATTCATTTATAGTGAGCACTGATTGCTAGATTCTTACACTCCAGTGTTTTTTTCTCTTAGATATGAACAGCTTTTGAAGGATGAAAAAACTGCAGTTAATGAGCTCAGCATATTTGAGAAAAAAGTGGAACTGTGGGCAACAAGCAGCTCAACAACAGAAAAAGTTTTGAAGTTACCATCAGCTAGGATCTCGGTTAATAAAACGCTGGGAAATCATTTACCTGAAGAAGTTGTAGAGTTTGAAAGATTTCTGCAGCAAACAGGGGGTAGGCAAGGAGGTTGGGATGATGGTGATCATCAGAATTTTCTTAAAGTATGGACTAAACACAGAGGAAGGCTGTCCTACATGGATGAAGCCCTCGAGTATCTTTGTGGAAGAACAAAAGAAGATGTTGAACAACATGGCTTATGGTATCAAGAATTTCTCAGTTTACAAGACAGAAAAAAAGAGGTAAAATGACTATTCTGTGGCCTTTGTAGCTTTAAGGAAAGTATGTTTATTTTTAAAATACATGCATTTGTTATTTTTGTATTTGCTTGTCTAGGGGTAGTTCTCAGTGGATTTCTGTTGCAGTTGGTGATAAGCAATTGAAACTTTTTTTAGCATCCTCAACTTAACAAAATATTTGTCTTAAAGAATCACAAGTGTAGACCTAACAGCATACTGATACGGACTGAGTATTGCAAGAGTGTATTATAAATATTTAAATGGAAATTGTCCAGCATGTTAGATGCCAGTCTCGGAGCAGTAAGCTATCCCATTTGAAGCTGCAGTTCTTGTTACGTGTCCTTTAGAATGGCTGTCTCACTATATAAGCAGTATACTAGTCAAATTCTGATGCAGATAATTACAATTCCTTCAAGAACTATATTTAATTTATTTGAAAAATAAAAAATATACAGACATAAAATAAATTAAAAAGCAGGAAGTAGAATTGTTATTCTGAAGAAAGAAAAAAAACAAAAACATAAAAGAAATGTGCACTGAAGAAAAAAGACAACAGCAGTCATAATTATTGCAAGATAATATGAATTCCATAACTTATTTCAGCTGGCAAGTCTTAAGCCTGTCTGTATGGTGCCTAAAATAGAGGAAAAATAAATTGAATGTAAGAAGGCAGAGAGGTTCTGCTCTTCTGTCTTTTTACCTTAAATAGATTTGTTATGCCTGTCTTTAGTTTGTATTCTTGTAGCATATATTTTTATCAGACCCAATCAACAGGAACGTGTAAGATTTTTTTTAATGAAGATATTTTTTATTTCCTGCTATTCCACTGCAGTCAATTAAGAAATGGAAAGAAAAACAGCAGAGAGAAAAAGAAGAAAATCTGAAGAAGAAAGAGAAATCAGAAATTGTTCAAAGCTTTCAGTATGAAGATCAGATGCAAAAAGCAGAAGAAAGAAGACGACAACAGGCAGCAATTTCAGCATGGAAAAAACAGAAAGCAATAACATCTGTGATGGAACAAGCATCACAAGTAAAACTAGAGGAAGGGAAGGAGAAAAAAACTAAAAGAATGCCAGCACCATTGCCACATGATGTTACTGGTGGAAAGGAATACCTTGCAAATGAAAGAGAAGCTTGAAAAGGAGAAAACAGAGAGAGCTGAAAAAGAGGAGAACTGCTGCAGGAGAAATTACTGAATTTCAAGAGCAAGTTTGTAATTAGCTCTCCATTCATGCATACAATTATGTTAAATTTACCAATTTCCCTGTATAATTCAATCTGCTAAACATTTTCATATTTTTTTTTTAAATCCCTTACGCTCTAGTTCTACTCACTTAAATCTGTTTTTAATTTGGTAGGAATAACAGTGTCTGTCAACACCTAGTATAGAAACTTTGTTCAGGACAAAGATATTCTTTTCCTCAATATTTAAGTTCTGTCTGTAGGATTATTGAAGTCTGTGCTTCTAAATATAGAGATGATTTTGTTGAATTGAATCTGTTTGGGAAAAATGGCTGAGTTGACTTTTTTTTCGTGGAAAGCAAGAGACCCAATTGTTATATACAGACATAATAATAAATATTTGAAGATCCTACTGCTTTCAGTAGCTGTAATATCTAGTTATGTCCCATCTCATTGTGAATTTACTTGAGAACTGGTATTACTGTCCGTATTCACACTAAGTTTCATTCAGACTGAACTGCTGTGATTTTTCAATACTGTGTAATTTTTTGTAAGTTTGAACAAGAAGTTACATCAAGTACCTGTCTAAATGTGAATTTATTCTGCACCAGGACAAAAGAAGGTTAAAGCAAAAGCTGACAAATTGCTGCACGTGTACATGTTTTGGTACCATTTGTTTTCATTCAAAATGTATAAGGAATATATTAGCTTAACCTCCTTCATCTGTTTCAGGATCTACATAAACTTAAGCTACAAACTCTGTAAAAGCAAGGTAAAGGAGCAGAGAAGCAAGAAAAAAAAAAGGAGATTGGCCAAATTGAGAGAGAAGGTGACATACCATCCTCTTGTTTTAATGTGAGGTGTGTGTCAGTTTGGTCACTTGAACAACTTACTCTTTTTTGCTCTAAAAAGCAACTTTTAACCTTTCTAATGGATTGACGAAGGAAAAAAAACCCTGAAATGGTAAGCCACGGCTTTACCAGAAAACAACAATCCAGCAGACACGCCCGTTCCTGCGTTTAAAAACAAAAAGCAGGAGGCTTTGTCCCTTTAGCAGCGCTTGCTGTAAGCTGTAACTCCGCACCACAGCCCATTCCTATCCGCTCCTCTCCCATCCCCGCCGTGACGTCACTCCCGGGCCGCCCGTGACGCATCCGCAGCGCGCCGGCAGTGCGTGTCGGCAAGATGGCGGCGCCGAGCTGGGCGGAGGCGGAACGGCTGGAGTTCCTGAAGGAGCGGCACGTGCGCTTCTTCCAGCGCTGCCTGCAGGTTCTGCCCGAGCGGTACTCGTCTCTGGAGACCAGCAGGTAGTCCTGCTTGCGCGCGGGGGCACGGGCGGGGCTGTCCGCCTCTGCGGCCGGGCGGAGGACCCGGCGAGGTGTGCGGCTGGAGGAGCCGGCTGCGGCTCCGCACCCTGCGTGGGGGGGCGGGCGCGGCGAGGTGAGGTGAGGTGAGGTGAGGTGAGGAAGGCTTGCGCGGCACGCTGAGCCCGAGAGGCGGACAAGGTTCGGTCGGTGCTGGGCTGAGCGCCCCGGCGTCCGTGAGGGAAGACTTGTTGATCCTTTGTAATCTGTTCCCAGGCATGTGCCTCGTTCTTCTCATCCGCCCTGAAAGCGGATTTAAGAATAAATCACTTCAGGCTCTTGTCAGCGCCAAGGCTCGTTAGTGTGACAGAAATCATTTAAGTCTTCATTCACTATTGTAAAACGTTCAACCAGAAATGAAATATGTTAGTGCAAAGCATTTGCCTGTTCACGGTCTCCGAATACATTCACTTCAAATTGAGCTCTTTGCATAAAGTAGTGCATTATTTCTGAGGCAGAGGGAAATAAATAATTACACTGTCAGAACTTGGTAAAAAAAAAAAAAAACAACTTTACACGTAAAGGATTTGGTGTCTTATTTGACCAACAAAATCAAAGACTTCACACTTCATAATCTCCAGAAATCATTCTGTGAGGAGTCAAAGGACTTTGGCCAAACCTTCCTGTTAAATCAAGCCTTCCTTCAATTCAGAGTACGCTTGACACAAACGCATTTTTTTTCAACTGTAAAAGAATTCCTGTGGGCTGTTGTGCGTAATAACATGGAACTTTATATTCAAGAAGAGCATTATGAATTTTAATCTCAAAGAAGCGATGCTCTAATATGTTAAGTGTCAGCTTATGTTTCTGTGTACTTTATCATTTTAATTTAAATAGCAGCAAGATGCCTGAGTGATTTTTTTTAAAGCTCTGCCTAGGCATGAAAGCCATTGTGTAATGTTTGTTGGAATCATAGCATCAAGGGCTGCCATTAACCACATTAGCATGCATAGAAATGCTGAAGATATGAAATTTCAGGCTAGAAAAGAGGGAGCTCAAGAAGGATCACTGCCTTCCATTATCTAGGAAACAGTTTCAGAGAAAGGTGGAGGTGCAGCCTTCAGAAGGAGCACAGTGACATGTCAAGGGGCTATGAGACTAAGCTGCTTCAGGGAGAATCCTGCCTGCAGAGGAGAAGGCTCTGGGGAGACTTCATCATAGCCTTTCAGTATTTAAAGGGAGCTTAGAAAAAAGATGAAAGCTGACTTTTTATACAGTCTGGTAGTGACAGTGCAAAGGGGAATGGCTTTAAACTAAAAGTGGGTACATTATCGTAGATAGATGTTAGGAGGAAATTCTTTGCTGAGAGTGTGGTGACACACAGGTTGTCCAGAGAAATTGTGGATGTCCCATCCCTGGTGTCCTTCAGGACCAAGTTGAATGGTAGGCTGCTTGAACCAGGCAGGCATGTTGAAACAGGATGATTTTTACAGTCCCTTCTACCCCAAGCTGTTCTGTGGATGTAAGAAAAATGTTCTTCCCACTTAGAGTAGTGGATAGTTGCTTGGGGAAAGTGGTGGGATCTCTCTTAAGTACTTGGCCCTTTGGAGCACTGGGCAATCTAATGTAAGCCCCTGCTTCAGCAGAAGGTGAGACAGATGATCTCCAGAGGTCATTGCCAGCCTAGGCATTTCTGTTCCACAATTTATTCTGCCAAGATGATGCAGTTTGCCACATAGTTGAAACAGGCTCTAGATTACATGACATATTCCCCAATTGTAACAAATAATGCTAATGATTGTGAGAACTCTTTAGGAATTAACAATTTGACTGAACTTAAATGTGTAGCCTCTAAATACCCGGTGTCAGTGTACTGTATATAGAGAGCGCACAGTACTGAAAAAACCCTGTTTTCCGAAAATTGGAGTTGTCAGTTTGAAACTCTTTCAGAGCACCATCGTTTTTGACTGATGAACATAGTCAAATTCAATCCTTTAATGAGAATAAAAATCACAATAATCTCACCTCATTCTGACTTGTTTTTTTTTTAACTCATAATCTCAGCCAGAAATTTTTCAGTTCTTAGATGCTAACTTATGTTAATATTCTGGAGAAATGTGTGCATCTGTGACGGAATTTTAGATGAGTGTTTGAACCATCTATGAGTATGTCATCCCAGATTTGACCTTGAGGGTCACAGATACCTTTTTGACAGGTACAGTGTCACTGAGTTCAGCAGACTTGCTGAACTAGTGCTGCAGCTGGAAGAGTGTTACTTTTCTTATCTCTTTCATTCTGTGTTTGTGTGGTTCCATGGCAGGTGAGTTTGAGAAATACAGCTAAAGCAAAGATTGTGAAAAGCTTTGTGAGATTGGCTTTGGTTCACTGCACTATAAACTGGTGTATATAAAGCTTTTAGATTTCATACTGAATGTCAGGTGAGGTGTGCTAGCAGTTTCTCTTAGCTCTGGAGCGTGTGTCTGTTAATTCTGTGTGAGGTGGGACAGCACATGGAGTAAGGTATGGTATCCCTGTGGTTGTATGGGGAGCACTCTATGCTCAGTAGTGCAGGATGTTCTCGCCCATGTTGCGTGGATTCCAGCACACTGTATAGGCCACTCTTTAGCAATACTGTTACTGTTAACACAGCCCACCCTAATGAAGTCAAACTTAACTTTTTATGTTCATTTATCCAATATATTCGGGTTTTTTAGTCCAAATAGGGCTTAATGTCATATCTTCTGCATCTACAGCCCTTCTGTACTTGAGCCTGCAGTTGCTTAGCCCTGGAGCTGACATGTTTGTGCTTCTCTAGAAGTAGCTTAGCTTACCTCAGTTAGGCAACATAGAGTGAAAAGGCCATTAAATGTTTTCAGTAAAAGATTATTGAACTTAACATTTATGAAAATCAGAAAATATCGTATACAGGGTTTTCTAAAAAAACAAACAAACAAACAAAAAAAAGCAACAAAGTACTATGCCTAAACATTTATCTTTAGAATTGTTGTTTAAATAGTGGCTTTGATTGAAGTAACAGGTTGTTGTCCAGAATCAGACTTTGGGTTACACGGATCTGATTAATCGCAAAAGTTTATATAATTTTTAAAGTGTTAATCTTGCACTTTGAAAGACTGTTTGGTAGCAATCAGATATCAGATGACTGGAGTAATAATTCTGTTCCAGACTGAAGTATCTTGGTGTGCAAAGACCACAGTTTTTATGCTTTCTGTAATCAAAAACATTATTAGTAGTTACACTAGTAAAGAAACATGTTTTAGAACCCAGGGATTGCAAAGCAGGCTTATACTTTCTTTCTGAAATGAATACTTGCAGTATTGTTCAGTAGTGGATCTGTATGCTATTCTGTGTTCGATATTTTTTACTAAGACTTGGAGGTGCATGAGGGAATTTTTTGAATAGGATATGTTAGTGCTTAGTAGCAAGCAAATGACAGGTTAAATAAAGCTTTTTGTGTGTAAGGCTGGTATGAAAGGCAATAGGTAAGCTCAGGGTCAAACTAAAATATATTGTAGAATGATGTAACATTAGCTAACTGGTCACTGTTTTTCAGATAAGTTCTGTCTAACGCTTGTGAAATGTATTTCTAAGTGATACCAGTTCTGAAGGAGAACTAATTTGCTTAAAAAGTACTTGTGAATGACATGACTGTAGCAGCAGGTGAGTACACAGGCAGGAAAGTCAACCTTTGAGGTTGTGCCACAGTCTTGAAAGGAATGTCTGCAGCATCATCATTTGGCTGCTTTAATTATATACTCCTTTAATTATAAGGGTTCTTTTTGAGCTGTGTCTTGGGCTGACTCACTTCACCATGTATTATTTTTTTTGCCTTACTCTTTGTGGTTCTGATGCAGAACCACAGGCAAAGATTGAATAGCTTAGAGACTTCTGTCCGCATCTGTCCTCAGAGATGCCAACTTCTAGTGGCCAAGGTGGATCAGCAGCCTGGGAGGTAACTGCAAATTATCACTTAGTCTCCTAAGGAAAGCTGGTGTTAACTTGTTTGTTTTCCTGACCATGCTGAGCAATATTTTTTGCCTGTTTAGCAGCTGCTTCATAGTCCATCATCGTATCTGGTAAAAGAAGAGTAAGAATTTCTAGAAGATGCAGATCTTATTGTGAATGGCAAAATAGATATCCAGCTAATTTTAATCTGAGATAGAACTTCCAAGGTACTATTACATTAATATTTTCTCTGTCTAAAGATATAAGCTATCTCAGGTTCATTCCCCAGTGCGGTTCCCATGGTCTCTGTCAGTGCCATTCATGCAACCATTTTGAGGGATGTTGCTAGGTCACTGAAATTGAAACCCACAGTAAGGTGATGCTTAAAAATGTAGCATTATTAACATCTGTGGTAGCACACATTTATGGAAGGAAATGAGTTTTGGGCAAAAAGGAACTGCAACATGCTAGCTTCTATGGAGTTCACTGCTGTGTTGGATATTTGCATTTAACCTTCTCAATTTTAGATGCTTAATTTAATCAGTCATCTAAGCTCCTCTGTACCAAAAGACAAGAACTAAGTACCTACAGAAGGTAATTATTCTGTGCACCTATTTATATATTGATTGGTTACAAAACAACCCTTGCTGTTTAATAGCTAGCTTCTAAGCATATGAAGTTGGGTGTGAAAGACATTAACAGGCAGCTTATATCCTTTCAAGATTATCTTCTATTTACTGCATACTTGTAGTATAGTTCATATAAGAATTCGTTGAAGAGAACTCTCTCTCCGTGTGTTAACAACCTTTTTCAGTTAACATCTGAATCATCATCATTACGTTGTATCGTTATACTAAGAGGGGTGGCTTACATGAAAAGTCTTGATGAGACAATGAAACTGTTACAATACAAACAGCATTATTTTGTTCAGCAGATAAATTTCATACTGTCTGGGCTAGGCTGTATGTGTTGCACCACTCTCAGAGGCTGAGAATTGTAGATAATTCTATTTCTGCTACCATTTGTTAATCTCCCCATTATATTTATGGTGGGAAGTGTAAGCCTTATCTTTTTCTTTTAGGTTGACAATTGCATTTTTCGCGCTCTCTGGTCTGGATATGTTGGATTCCTTAGATGTGGTGAACAAAGATGATATAATAGAATGGATTTATTCCCTTCAGGTCCTTCCCACAGAAGACAGTGAGTGAGTTTTTAGTTTTTATTTATTGATAATAACTTCTTTACTTTTGCTTTTCACCTGCGTAAATAGTGATATGACTTTAAAAGAAATAAAGTGACAAAAACGCATGAACCTGACCTTCATAATTTCAAAGAGCAATATCTAGTAATTCTTAGAAACAGATGACATCCTTTTATTAAATAAAAGTAGAAGTGTTTAGTTTTAACTTCTTTATGTATTTAAAGTGAAGCTATGAAATGAATTTCAAGGTAAGACAGTAAAAAATAATAATAAAGCTGCACCTTTAAGCGTCTCAGAGAAATGTTTCACTTTTTCCTAAAAGAAGTGCATTTTGAATAAGGTGTATGGATCTAGTAGTGGTTATATTGACTTTCCCCAGTTGTAGCCATGCCAGAAGCAATGAGTGCAGGTATGGTTATTTAGAACAGCTGTTGGAAAAAAAGGAGATGTAATATTAAGATGCAGAAAGGATAAATACAGTTCCAGTTTTGAAATGAAAAATCTGTTCTCTAGCATTGTGATTTTAATTTTCCTCGTGTTTTGAGTAGTAATGTTGAGTTTTGAGTAGTATTGTTTTGAGTAGTAATGTTTGAGTAGTAATTGCTGGTGTGTTCCAGCTGTTCCCAAACTGGAAGTTGCACAACAGCTCCAAGCTGGGGAGTGAGCTTATGGGAAGTGGCCCTCTTTGGGTGACTTGATAGAAGTTGAGAGAGAGGATATTTCTGGCATTTTTTCAGTGGTGGTGAAAGTAAGTGGCTAATAGCAGTAGAGGAAATGGAATGAAGGGAGCTGTGAGTGAGACACTGCTATTTTATGATGTCAGGTACTGGCATGTTCAGCACTAAAAAGGGATCACTCCAGGCTGGTCTTAGAGCAGAGATAATTCCAGGTGCTCTTCTGTGAAAGAGAAGAACTTTTATGAAGTGAGCATATGGAAGTCAAGGTTGCTTACAGATATTTACAGCTATAAAGAGATCCTCTTTCTTGTTGTGGCAACTTAGAAACTACGAGATCCACTTTGGACATTAGTTCTAATATATTCTCTTCTTGTGCTGTATTCTGCGACAAATTACAGAAAATTGTTCCCACATGAGAAGGCTCCAGTCCTGTAGAGTTAATTTTTTTTTTCCAGGGTGAACGTGCCGTGTTTGTAGGAGTTGAATGCTGTCTGTTGTGTCCCAGTCTTCAAGACTGTATTCTGACAGAACAGTGAAGCTTCAAGAAAAGAGATTAGAGTAGTTAATTTTTTTAATTTGTCTTTGATAGAGTTTGAGATTTTTTTTTTTCTACCTAGCCAATATCTAGGGTAGTCCCATAGTCAAAAATCTTCTAGGAGGGTCAGTATAACTGCCAGAGACAAACACAGAGTCTAACAATCCAGGAAATATGTCTTTTTTTTTTCTTTTTTTTTTTTTCCCCCTTAGCATTTAACAAAATATGAAGTTACAGGGTAGTCGCTTTGGGGAAGATGCCACTGGTGCAACATTCTGTGCTTTTAAATGTCTCTTTTTTTTTCTACAAAAGACCAAACTTCCCTCCAGTCCTCTATCTATCAGTTTATAAGAAATCTAATCTTAGGCTTTCTTGCTTTTGCTGATTACAGTGCTCTGTGCGGTTACTTCACTGCTAAAGTTTCCACATTATTCCATTTCTGTGTTACCTGATGGATAAATACATTATGTAAGATATAAGTAATATTAACAACAACAAACTGGATATTGGATGACCAAATGTTCAGAATGGGAATGTATACTCTCTTGAAACATGTGCCTTCAATAACATGTATTGATTTTAGTATTTGTTATTGGGCATCCTCCCAGCATTCCTTCTTCTGGCCTCTTTGGGAAAAAAAAAAAAAAAAAAGCTAAACTTCAGTAGGCTGCAGCACCAAAGCTTTTGATCTCAAAGTTTTTGTCCATCTCTAGTTAATGACAGCTAGTTTGCTGCATCAGAATCTTTCCAAGTAACAACAAAAAAAAAAGTTTGCTTTTAAAGAGGTACTCTTGCAGTTTCTTTGACATGCATGCTGATACATCCATCTTTCTGGGAAAATTTGATTTTTAAACATTTTCATTATAACATTGTTTAATTATGTCATTTATGGAGTTACAAACTCCAGTAATCTTAAGTTTATTGGCAAACATCTGCCTGCTAATGGGAAGTAGTGAATAAATTCCTTCTGTGCTTTCCTTAATACACACAGCTTTTTCTTCACCTCATTGATTGTCTCTGCCTTGATCTGCCTGTCCTCTTGTACAAAAGGAGTACGTAAGAGAGTTGCTGAGTGGATGTTTAGGAATATTACAGAACTTGGTAGAAAATTCAGAATTTGGTTCATAAGAAGACTGAGTTAAAATCTCACCACGTACTATGATATTTTTAGTGTGTTTTTATTTATTGGTATATGATTTGTCTTATGGCTAAGGAAAGCTTCAGTTCTTAGCCTTTAAAATCTTTACATGAAACTAAAGCTCATTAATGCAAAATGATAAGATCTTGATCTTGCTGACTAAGAAATTGAATGTATTCTTTGTGAATCTAACTGAAATGTACTACATAAAGCTAAAGTTCTGTCTGGATAAGCTATGTTCTTCTGTGGCTTTACTTGAGGAACGGTTCCTGTGGCTTTTGTGAAATAAGAGATGCATCCAAGTGATGTCCTTCAAGTACTGTAAATGATTTCAGCTCATATGTTTTAGAAACTCCAGTTAGGAGAAGGCAGTTAGGAGAAGAGAGTGGTGCATCACACATTGTAACTGATCGTCACAGAGAAACTTACTGTTACTAGATGATTGCTTGAATTTATTGCTGTCTTATATAACTATCAAAATATATAGAGAGATGTTTTCTTTGTAGATTCTGTGATTTTACTTTTTTTTCACATGTAGCAAATGTTCTGCTTAGGTACATGACTAATTCATGGTGTTTGTTTTGTTTGTGTGTTTACTGCATTCACATTAAGACTTCACTGTTTTCTTTTAGAAAGAAGTGGAAATCTTGAAAATGCTTTTTTATCTTTCTTAATTTCCTTTTCAAGGTGGATGGCGAAGGGTCTCTTACAAGCCTTTTCAGAAATTATGTATTTGGACTAAAACATAGTTCTTGAAGTTCTAGTGAAATTTTCAAAGGACTCATCAGATATTTGTTCTGTCAGAGCTTATTTTCTTTCTCCTAAAGCAAGATCTGTGCAGAATTTCAAATTTCAAACTTCTCAACATAAGAAGTTGTAACCTGCTTTAGCTAGGTACGCTGGCTGTATTTGACTATCTAAAACTGTAATTTCTTGGTTTGCATTTTAAGATTTTAAAAATGTCTAAGATGGGTAATGTGAATGGGAAGAACTAATAGTAAAATGTGCCACTCTTTTCACCTAAGGCTGATCATAGAAGATCAATAACAGAAATGTCCCTTCTGTAAAAAGAAAGCTCCTAGCTCTTAGAATAAGTTACCTCTGCTTATCAGTTGGAGTTCTGATGCCATAAGGACTTTCTGGTCTACAAATACTTAAATGGTGTGGTATTCCTCAAGGTAAAATCTCAGCTCCTTATATAAATATGGAGTCTTTTGGTTTGAGAAAATGATTAAATTTATTTGTGTTCTCACATGTGAAGCCTTCTTCCATGTGGTTGGTTTTTTTTTGCTTAGCTTGTAACACATGCATTAACTGATGTTAAGATTATTAAGCTGTTTATCTTTGGCTATTTCAAAAAGTATTAAAGTATGCTTAACTCTGAAAGTGAACATTAGGTGGTACCATTTCTTAACAGCAGATAGGCTCAGTACTTCACCTGATGGTTGGGAGCTTGAACTGATGGATCCATCAATTTTTTACAAGGCACATAAATTGTGATTCATTTTTATTAATTAGAGTATGTTTCTTTTATAATTCTGTTACTGACTGGCTATTTGCAGATCAGAAAAGTAATGCTAATCAAATTCTAACCTATTTCGTAAGATCAGAAATGTGCAAGTAGTTTTTATTAAAGTTGTAAAACCAACTTTGCAGAAAGTGAGATGACCAACTTAAATTTAAACTGAAAGACAGTGTTTTTTCCATAATTTACCTTTGATTTCCACTTGGTTCAGAAATTGTGTGTGCAAAAGGAAGCTAAAAAAATTGAGACATGAGGTCAGTGTGGCAGTTACCTGGTTAGAAATGATCTGTTTTCACTTTCCATTTAACAGTTCCTTTTATCAGCTGAGCACTGGATTTTTTTAGTTCAAGAATTGCTACTATAAATTAAGCATTCATTTGTTGTCTTGAAGCTCTGAGATTAATCTGTTGTGTCCACATTCATGACAATATATATATATATATTTTTTTTTATTTGGAAGAGGAGATACAGTTTCACTTTTGAGATTACATGGTAGTAAGGGTGCTGAAAATCAAACAAACCACTGTATTTCTAGGAGCCAGTGTGTAAAGCCTGGGATTGGAGACCAAAAGCAACTGGTCAAACAAAATTTTAGATCACTGACAGCATTTGAGTATTACCCATGGTGGTTTTCAGTTGTTAGCAGTTTGGTGGTGCGATATAAGTTTTAAAACATTGCAGAGAAGCTGAATAGCTAAGGGCTTCTGATTTCCTTCAAGTAGTTCATTTTTGGTTATGCCTTGTAACTGTCTCTAACTGTCATGTAAAAAGCCAGTCAGTGTAACTCACCAACAGTAACTATGCCTGAGTTTCATATTGCCATTCTATATTCATAGTATAATATCATTCATCATAAAGATCAGCCTTTCCAGGCTGAGTTCTTCCACCTACTAGAATCTGAGTTCTATTTGACTGCAAAGCTGACCTAATTGTACTATGACTTTCTTTGCAGCAGGCCAGACTAGTTATATGTCAGCAGGGTAAAAACTGCCTTCTGGGTTAAGGTTTTCCATATTTGTGCTAATTCAAAGTGTATTTTATAGTTTACTTAAGCATATTTGACATGGGTTAGATTTACTGAAAAGGGGACATGTGAATGGCAATTTCTTCCACTATGCCTAGGAAGTCTCTTAATTAAGAAATAGGAATTCTAGTTGTCCCCTTCCAGAGTTATTCATGTTGTGTTATTTTCCAAACTGATGCTTTTTGAGCACCAGGCTTTGGGACCTTAGATTACTCCTTCAGATTACTATTTATTGTGTGCTTCAGAATCTTTTGCAACATGGAATGAATTGAGTGCACCCTCAGCAAGTTTGCTGATGACACCAAGCTGAGCGGTGCAGCTGACACAATAGAAGGAAGGAATAGCGTACAGAGGGAGATGGGTAGGCTTGAGAAGTGGATTCATGGGAACCTAATGAAATTCAGTAAAGCCAAGTGCAAGTTGTACTAGGGTTGGGTAGATCACATTACATACTGAAATCTTTTAGGACTTTCAGCTCTGTGTCTGTTGTTGTCCAGTTATGTAGGTCACTCTGAAAGTAACGCTTCCTATTTATTTCTGTGGAAATGACAGCAGATGAAAAGAACACTGAGAGCAAATTCTCGACTACTAAACACTACTTTTCAACATAGTCACCACCATTAGCTATACATTTTCACCAGTGACGGACAAGAGCCTGCATGCCACACTTATAAAAATGTGCGCCAGCATAGTTGACCTACTGTTGCCATCCGCGCTGCTGAAGAGCACTACTCACTACTTCACCATGCTGACAAACACTGTTTGATCTCCACAAATATTCAGCGTCAGTGCATGATGCTTTTTCCCCATGTAGGAAGTCGTTTAGACATCTTTGCTTTATATGTGCTTCCATGTCAGATGGCATTTGGTAACGCTGTTTCTTCACTGCTGCCTGTCACAGCAACAAAATGTAGCAGTATGAGTGGGAAAGTTCAACCACCAATATCCACTTCCGAAGCTGTGGGCCAACAGAAATAGAAGGTATTACTTTTTGAGCAGCCGTTATAGCAGAGTGCAAATTTCCCTAATCTCCATGAGGGTTTTTGGATCCAAGGAAAAAAAAACAACCAGGAGAGATAACTTAAGAACACTTGAGTACTGTGGAACTACAGTAGTTACTAGACTTCTTTCAGATTCTGAGGAGTAAAGAAATAGAGTATTTGCTGCAGAAGCTGTATAGTAATTGGCTCTAAAAAGTACTTTTCACGTACTTCTGTGTAACACATGCCTAGATATTCTGACATGTTTGAAACATCATAACGGAATCACTAGTAGGGATGTTTGGCGTGAAAATATTCTTCAACTGTGTTTTGAATGAGGGGGAAGAATGGCTCAAATTAAAAAAAAAATTGCTGATCACCTTGTTTTAATTTTCTCTCTCAAATGGTAAAGTCAGCGCCAGCTTGAAACAGCAGATGTATATTTGTCCTTGTACATTTGCAAAGTATTATAAAAACAACTCCACTTGGGAACAGAGGGTATTGACAGTCAGGAAATCAGAGAAGAAAAGATTATATTAACATGGGGCATTCTTTCAGGGAAGTAATGTTTTTGTTTTTCTTTAACTACTGGGAGGCTGGTGGAAAATTCTCTGCTGATGTGAACAGCTTCTCCACCAAACTGGGAAAAAAAAAAAAGAAAAATCTGTTGTTTTCTTACAACAAAAGAATTGATTTAGCTTTTGGGTTTTTTTTGTGTGTTTGGTTGGTATGTTGTTTCCTGTTTGTTACTGTCTGTACTAATCAGAATGATAATAGACTGAAGTTGGGAACATACTGTAGGACACGTGCAAATTCTGATAGTACTGTGAATGATGTTGCACTAACAGATCTTGATTTTGAATAGAGAATTATGGTTAATAGAGAATGTTTCAACAAAGCAAACTGGTTGAATCTTTATTTTTTTATCTTTTCCAGAATCAAACTTGAATCGCTGTGGATTCAGAGGCTCTTCATATTTAGGGATGCCATTCAATCCCTCCAAGGTCAGTTATGTGTGTTTGGAAAGGTGTTTTATCAACTAGGCTGTAAGTTATCTTGTGTTTTTTTTATAACAATGACTGAAAAATTGTGCAATATCTTGAAAGTGGGGGGTTAACTACTGTTAATACATTGAAATATTTGCAGTGCTTTTAAGAATCATGTAGTACTTCTAAAATGGTGGTGTTTGTATTTCAGAGGCAGTGAAGAATCTAAAGTAAAAGTTGTGGTTTGGTCAGAAGAGCAGAGAATGCTTTTTTGCATTTTCTGCTTTTCTGACCTGTAATGCATAGAAAACTTCTCTAGATATTAGCTATCAGGTAGAGAAGGGCAGAAAAAGTCAACATTACAAGGTGCAGGATGTGCTGTTCTTCAGTCTTCTTCTTTTTATGCATGGATATTTAATTGCCCCTGGGATCCAGTCAAACATAAGGAAGCCTCTGGTCATCTCAGCTTGTCAGTGACTCTAAGGGAATTATCCTTTGTTGCCCATGGAAGTGAAGTTCAAGCACTTAAGTGCTTGAAGTGCACTGAAGTTTGTATATAAAACAAAAGTGCCTTTGCTGCAGGGAAGAGAAGAGGCAAGCAGAGGCTGCTAACAGTAATACAGAAGGTCTGATCTGGTTGGAAGAGGGTTGTATGTGCCATTGTGCAGGAACGACTTGGAAGAACTGGGCTATTTTTTTTAGTGTGCTTGAGAATGAAGAATCAAACTCCTCTAAGAAAAGCCTGAAAGAGCACTAAATTATAAATATTTTATTTTACTGCTATTTAAGATGGTCACATTTAAAATCCCACTGAATTTATCCTGCAGCATGAAATTGAGAGCAAAGGCAGATGCACTCATACTTACGACTATTGTTGTGTAAAAACGCTTGAATTGGCTTAAGTGTGAGGTGTGTTCTGGCCTCATTTTTACTCACTCTTAGCAGCATAACTTTATGTTTCTGAGTAGCCTGTAGGAGTGTTCATCTATTCTAGCCCACCAATTGCTTATATCTCTTATTTTGCATTGTAAGTCCATCAGATACATATAGCAGCAATTTTTGTAAGTTATGCTTTCTAACAAGGGAAAAATAATTGTGAAGAGAGTTTTTACATCTCAACACCCAGGTAATACAGCAGCACATGATAGGCAAGGTTTTCTGTCTCTTGATTTGCTGTGATATTTATTTATTTTTATACTACAGATGGTGTCTGCAGTGAGCTCTATAGTAAAATGAATTAATCCTCTGTTTTAATTGGAATTAATCTCAGTAGCAATCCTACAATACACTGAGTTGAAGGGAAGGAAGCAAAACTTCTGCTTACGTCCTAAATATTGTAGGATTTCTACTGATAATTGAAGTTTAAAGAGAAAATAGTAGACAGTCATGTCAGTATATTTGTATATTAAAAAATGACTGATTCAGTCAGAATAAAACCAGTCACAGATTGTTTTTTTTTAATCATTCACCTAAATAAATCCGCACAGTCACAGAATATCCCAAGTCAGGATATGGACCCTCAGGAGGATCACTGAGCTCCACTACTGCCTTCACCCACAGTTCAAACCCTGTATCTTAGAGTATTGTCCGGATGCTTCTTGAATTCCATCAGCTTGGGGCCATGGCCATTACCTTGTACTCTTTTGGACTCTCTGTCATTTCCATTGACTTTTATTAATTACATTTCAAAATATCTACCAGTATCACAATTTATTGTGTAAAGAATTGACTTACTTGCCAGAAAATAATCCTGTTCTGAAGGAGAACTATTAGTTGTATGGGTAGCTCTGTAACCTAATAGCATCTGTTCTTGAGAGCTCTTCCCTGATTCCCTATATAATGACACTTGGAAACTATGCACCTCAACAATCTTTTCTGTCTTACCTGTACCTGAGTGTTTATGTGGATGCTTGAGGATAAAGAGAGGTGGCAGTACTAATTTAGGTATTAATTTCATGAAGTATAGCCAAAAGATACTACTGTTTGCTTTATATGCGTCACACAAGTACGTATTGTGTTCCTTATTAAAACTACCTCACTTGCAGTTTTTTGCTAAAACGCTATTTGGAAAAACACTGTGCTACTGCTACATGTTGAAATGTTTGTATAGAAAAGTATGTGAATGTAGAATTTGAACTTTGTGCAGATGCTGAAGTGATTGATCCAATTTGGAGGAGAGAATGATATAATTCAGTTTCAAGATCATAGTATATATCTTATATATATGTTTATAACACTTTTTCAGCAGCCCATTTTTACTGTAGTGAGTGAAACAAAGGACCCAATTATGTAAACATGTCTGTTGGCCACCAAAGCTCTACAGCTTCTATGGAACTGATGCAGATATAGAAAAGTACAATAAAGAAAACCTGGTGAACAAAGAGTTTTAAGTTATTTTCTGTTGATGTTATGTGAAAAATTGCTATTTAAAGGAGAATATTGAAAACTACAGATGCCTTAAAAAATTTCCCAAATATCCCAGCACATTTGCATTAGAAGTTTTTGATAGAATTTTCATAAGTGTTGTTGTAGAAAGTCAAGTCAAAATATCTTCAGAGTAAAGCTAACTTGCTTAATAAATATAGTCTTTCTGTGAAAATAATATTTTTAAAAGTTAAGTTGAACTGTTTCACAATATCTGTTGCTGTTCAGTTACTCCTGATGTCAGCACAGCTGTCAAGATGGACTAGCTGAACAAACATAAGCAGAGCAGTGGTACACAGTTAATACTGATTTGCAGGCTCTGTACCCTACATTGTGTGAAATGGACAGATGGATCTTCTGTTCATCCACTACTCCAGGTTATTCTAAGTAAGGCAAAATTAATTGTTCTTGTCATTACAATTTGACTTCAATTATATGGATATTTGGAAGCTTAGTTTTCTTCGTAGCTACCAACTGGGCTTGCAGTCAGTCCTAACGGCAGAGAACCTTTCAGAATATTTCTCATCTGCTGCTGCATATCTCATATTTTATTTGTTAAAATTTGAGCAGTTTTAACTACAGAACTGGAATATTGAGAATTCTTTCTGTTTTAGAACTGGTCCAGGTTTGGGTTTTTGGATTAGACACCTCTTTTGCTTAGAAGTAAATTTATCAGCTGCTTTAAACTGAAAACTTGTAAACCCTGTATACCTGGATTTTTGATGCAGGTTTTTGTAGTTGAAATAAGCTAATGCATCACAAATATTGGGCTCCTAACAATGCACATCTTATTGGGAAGATATTTTGAAAAGAAGATTTCGGGTACTGTTAGAATTAGAATGCCTATATTGGTATGGTTGGCCAACTTGTTCCTCCTGGGTACAAAAGAGGGCAGAGCCAGACTCTTCTCAGTGGTGTCCAATGCCATAAGAGGCAGTGGTAACAAACTGGAAGAGGAGGTTTTTTTCTGACCATCAGGAAGCACTTCTGTGCTGGGCAGGTGACAGAGCCCTGGAACAGTTTGCTCAGAGAGGCTGTGCAGCCTCCTCCTTGCAGATCTCCAAAAGCCAGCTAGACATGTTCCTGGACACCGTTTTATGTGTCCTTGCTTGAGCAGTGCTTGGATCAGATACATACAGAAGACCCTGCAAACATCAGTTGTGCTGTGTTTTTGTGACTGTGGGATGTGAGGGTCATTAGAGAGTGATGGGAGCACTGGTACCTCAGGGGCAGAAATGGGCTCTGTTGAGAAAACTGTAATTTCAAAATTTGCTTGTTGTGGCTGCTCAGTATAGAAATAGCTTTTATCACATTTAAAAACAACAACAAAAAAAATATTGCAGAATGAAAAAGCCTAAGTACCCAAAACCATCTTGTTATTTGTGGTTTGTGTTGTCATCCCGTAGTGCAATCCAGGATGTGCTTACGTCACAGGCAAAAATAAAAACCCAGGTGTGTTACTGTTTTCTGTCCCTCATTTTGTGATTTATGTTGTCATTATTTAACTTTCATTTAAGCTTCTCAATTGACTTTATTTGCTCTTTAAATACTTTGCTTAAGCTCTGATTATTGTTTTAAAGTAGAGATGAAAATAAGTGAGGTGCTGATCTTTTATTGCTTTAGATGACAGAGACTGATAGTAATCCCCTGCACTGCTTTCTTCTTGTAGATTAGAGTCTAAAATGTATGTGGGGAGGATCTCCAGGTGTTTGGCTCTTTAATAGTCAGCTTACCTAACTGCAAGGAACAGTGGTGTGCCAAGATAAACTTTGATATAGTTTATATGCTTAACTGTTGCATATATATCAGCCTTCACAAAAGAACTTTTCTGAACTTTCACACTGACCTACAAAGGTAGAAGAACTGTGAAGTAGCTTGATTTGATTCAGAAAAGTTGAATAGAATGTCTTCAGTTTAAGCCTAATCAATGAAGAGAAATTAACTGTTTACCTCTTTTTCCTTTTTTTTTTTTTTTATTTCAGTTGGATGCCTGACAGAAGATGTGGCAATGTTTCAGTCTTTTATTTCTTGCTTTTTTTTTTCTTCTAGGGCTCAGATGTATCTCATCCTTATGATAGTGGGCACATAGCAATGACTTACACAGGTCTGTCGTGTCTGCTCATTCTTGGAGATGATTTAAGTCGAGTAAATAAAGATGCCTTAATGGTAGGACTGAGAGCTCTCCAGCTAGAGGATGGAAGGTAAAAGACATATTTTATAATTCTTTGTAAGGTGAATATAAAAGCATGTTGTAGGGTGAGGCATGAAAAACATGATTCTTGGAAAATTACAATATTTTCTCTCCATTAGTAGGCATTTTGGTGAAGGTCAGTAAGATATTTTGTGTTTAGATTCACTTTTTGTACTTAACGTTGTGAGGCTTGCTTACAACCAGGCATATTTATTATTGAAAAGTTAATTGATCTTAGGAATAGGGTATTTTATGCTGTTCCTTTCATGTAGGTGAGGTTTTCAGTATTCATATTCTCTGACTGAGGTTTTTTTTGCAATAACATGGAGCAGTGTTAAGATGATGATTGCTCTGCTTTCAGAAGTGGTGAACTTGATTCAGTTTTGAGCGTTTCAGGATAACAATATATAGGATGAATTAGCCTAAACTTTAATTATAAATGCGAGTATAATATTACTAAATTTTAATTTGAGATACATCCTTTTTACATGCATATTTTTAATAGACCAGATATACTGCTTTATCTACATCTGGTTGCTTTTATATTTTGAACAGTGGCAGCTGTTAATGCAGACTAAAATAGATAGTAGATAGAAAACTTCTGCTTGGAGACATGATCTGTTCCTCTTGAGAAATTTTACAGAATATCATTTTTGAAAGAATATTTTAAAAGTGCAGAATTATACAAATGTTGTTTGTGATGGAACTGTTTTACTTCACAATGAAACCATTACTTCCAGAGCAGCTCTCATTTATTTACAGATACAGCTATATAGTTGTATGTGTATACACATCTCTGGTCTGTCTTAGCCAGCAATTTCTTCAAGCATCTGGAGGTGCCTGTTCCATTGCTCTGAGCATTCCTGTTATAGATATTGGATCATTGTTGTTGTTGAAGTATGTCCAAAAGACAGAGTGATGGATGAGGTGCTCCCAACACACTAGTGTCTTGAAGCAATTGCTTGTAATCTTGCCTGATTACAATAATAAGCCTCATGCAATTAACTCCTAAATATTTGTGACATATACAGTTTTAATGTGCAGACTGATAACTCTTACATTTGATGCCATTTTTCATTCTCCTTGCTAAAGAGGGCCAACTTGACCCCAGAAGAAACAAGAGTTCTTTGCTATTTCTGGTGTAGAATTGTTGGGTAGGCATCAACTTCTAGTGTAATGCACATTTTGATACCTATGAAAAGCACTTTTAAAGTACCAAAGAGAAAGGATGTGCAAAGGCAATGGTTATGTTGCCCAAATAGAAATATCAAGTAAGCTGAATGAAGGAAAGAATTGTTCTGGATATTAGGCTACTGTAAATATTCTAGGGTCAGGTTTAATTTCTTTTCTTTTATTAAGAAAAGAATGTGGTCTTCACTGAATGTGATTTGAAGTATTTGGATAACCTTCAGTGCCCTTGTTACCAAAATATGGGATGAAGTTATGCCGCAACACTTGTACATCTTAAGTGTCCTAGTTTCCCAGAACCATATCCAAATCTTGGCCATATCCAGAGAGCAACAGCATTCATCCACATCTGAGCTGCAGAGAAGATGGCTTGGTGCCACTGGGGTTGGTAGAGGAAAATGATCTCCTAATATTGGAGGCTTCTGTATGCAACAGGATGATAGACTACAGAATTGAATCCTGGGGCCAAAGGAGGAGTGTCCTAGAGGTCCTTGAAGGACTGTCTCCAGAGCCAGAAGTACCTTTATTATTATTTTCCTAGATCAGACAGTGGACTTATTAAAATATGGATTTGTTGTTCTGGCTTCTTGCTGTGGTTTAACTTTTAAAATATCTGAACTGGTTCTTTGAGCAAAACAGACTCTTGGCAGGTAGCAAATCACAGCACCCGCCTTTAAGAATCTTAGGAAGCAGAGATTATGCAGTAGATTGCGCAGGGTGGTGTTATATGAAACAAAACTTTTCTCAGAGATGGAAAGAACATAGCCATAAGAAATTGAAAAGTGTATTGCGTGTAGCTTTAAGTATTTCTGATAGAAATGGTGATGGAGTTACATTTATACATGCAAGGAAAGCTGATCCTGAAGTTAAGGTCAAAAAAGCCATGTAGGCTATGAAGATTTCAAAGCAAAGAATTCTGCCAAGGACAGTTACACATCAGTATGTGGTGTAATAGGTGAAAGAATGTTAAGTGTTGACATCTCTGATTAAATAAAGAGCAGTGTCACTGCTAGAAGTAGAATTATGCAAGCCTCTAAATGTTAGTAGTTCTCTTCCTTTTGTTTGGTTTAGCTAAAAATTCATCTTCTGGAAAGAAAATCAGGTGTATTTTTTTATTATAGTTGTGTGTATGCTGTAAGCAGACGTAGGTAACTACGTTTGAAAGGAAAAACTATTCAATTCCAAAATGCTTTTTGTAATCTATGATGTAAAAAGCTACACAGCACTAATGAGATAAACCTTTCTTTACAGTTTCTGTGCAGTGCTAGAAGGAAGTGAGAATGATATGAGGTTTGTGTACTGTGCTTCCTGCATCTGCTACATGCTTGATAACTGGTCAGGCATGGATATGAAAAAAGCTATAGACTATATTAGAAGAAGTATGGTAAGTATTCTCAGAAGTGATCTGTCATACAGAATTCAGAAGTCATTAGCTCTGTTTCAGTAAGTTGCTAGAAGTGTGGTTTTGTTTTACTGCCATATGTCATGACTGGCAAATAGATGGAGCAAGCGTAGTTCACAGACTTTTTCCAATTCACACATACGTGTGAAGCGCAGCTTATTTGGATGAAGAATAACATGGCTGTTCAGACAAGGTAATCTTCATAAAAAGTTTTTTTAATTTCTTAGCTTATTTTTTTCGCTAATTTATTCTCCTTAGTGGTACAGTGTCAAAACTCTGAGATATAGTTCAGTATAGCTGAAGGTCACAGCAATTTCAGAGGGTTGTGATCAGTAGCACAGAGTCTGTTTGGAAGCCTGTGGCTAGTGGAGTTCTCCAGGGGTCAGAACTGGGCCCAGTCTTGTTTAAGATTTTCTGTGTTAATGCAGTTCTGATTACAGAGAAGAGAAAAAAAAAATCTGTTTTTATTTCATTGGAATTGTCAGATTTTAATTACATAATCTTTATCAGTTTGCTTCATAATATTCAAAAGTCAGCTGTATCTCCAGTTCAAAAAGAATGGATACTCAGATGCTGAAACTTTGAATGACTTCAGCAAAAATGGACTCTAAAATGCTCCAGTTCTTAAACTTTCTTGTTTTATCTCAAATTTGGTAGAGATATTGAAATAATTTTTAAGTGTAGCATTTGGTCTTCTTTTTCTTATATAATAGCGTAATCTGAAAATGCATGTATATAAATCTGTAGATATTTAATTATGATGTAATAGCTATTTGTGTAGCTGTTAGAATAACAGTTTAGAGTTTGGAGTAAGAAAGAACTGTTCTTAACTGGGTTTATGCATTTTCTGAGGGCAGTATTTTATTATGCAGCTTTCGTGTTACAGTAACCTACAGCCATTGTCTTTTTTTTTTTTCTCCAGAGCTAATTACTTTGGTTTGCATTAAGCAAATGGCCTCCTCTTACAGTTACTGTTTGTAGTATTAATTAGCTTTAGCAGTACAGTTTTGCTATTCAGGTTGCCTTTGTTCAGCAAGTAGTGAGCTGCTGGGGTAAGAAAGCATATTTGGATTGCCATTACAACAGATACTGCAAAGAGTTTGAAGTAACTTTATGCTGTGTTTTAACATTCAGATGTTGGTGGTTATTATTTAAAATTGAGTAGTTCATACTCTGGAAGGTCAAGTTGCAGCTTGAGGTTGTCTGTTATGTTTTAGTCTTTCTAGCTCATTAAACTGATAACAGTTACTCAAAAACTAAGAAATATGTTTAAATGTGTGCAGCTTCTACATCTACTTCTGTTTCTTCTTTCCCCCCCAAAGGGATCTTTGACAACAGATCTGTAGAATGATTTTAGATTAAACCTAAAGAGTGCTAAATGTTCTTCAGCTATGACTATAGGAGTCATAGCTCCTATATGTATCTCTTAGCCTCTACTAAATATTTTGAAGAAAACATGAGAAATTTGTACTTGGAGTTTGGCAAAAAAAAAAAGTTATCTGTTTAATCAGAACATGGACCAATCGTTAGTCGGCCAGTAGGAGCAGTCTAATTTAACTTTGAAAGTTAAACATAAAATGTTCAATAATTTGTGTTTCCTCTAAAAAGTTTAGTATTTGTCCAGTGACAGTTTGTTGGCTATTAAATATTGTATGAACACTTGTAAAATAAAAAGGCTTTAAAAGCTTTTCAGTTAAAGACAGATTTCATTTATGCATTTAATTTTGATTGGAAACACCTCTCCATTTTCCCGTTTTATAAAGACAAAAAAGGTGTTTGTTTGTTTTTTATTTAATGACATGCTTTACCTCTTTTGACAAAGAAATATTTGTTCATTTCAGACCTTTAGTGTACATTGTAACTAAAATGAGCTCAATTAAAGTCTTAAAAGCTGTCTTTACTGAACTGAAACATTTGTTAACTGTCTTGTGCTAAGAAGGTTTTGATGCATAGGCTCAGAATTTAACTATGGCAACTATAGTTAGTAGCTATAGTCTGGTGGCTATAGTCTGATGATGATTTTGCTATTAAACTGAGAAATTGCAATGTCCTTAAAAGTAATTCATCTCTAAAGTAACTGGTTCATTATAATTTTTTCTTCAGTCTTATGATAATGGCCTGGCACAAGGAGCAGGACTCGAATCTCATGGTAAGCATGTCAGAATGTTCTGCACCTTTTTTTAAAACTGTAATTGAGAAATGCTGTAAGAAATTCAGGTTATGTCATGCCTTTATTTCTTTTCTGCTTTTGAAGAAGTGGGATGAAGAGGAGCAAATCAAAAACATGCCTTGGAATACTGTTCTTCTTCTCTTAGTTTCTGCTTAGTATCAGACCAGATGGGCTCTTCCTATATCAGCTCCATTATTTTTCACCTGAAGAACCTTGAAAGATGTTGCCTGTAGTTCTCTGTCTTCCTGACAGAGCAAACCTTTTCTGCATGTGCTGTTGTGACTCTCTGGATTTATCAGCAAGAGATTTTATGCATTGCACCTGATAATCTCCAATTTCAGCAGCTATTAGTAAAACCCAGAAACATTTCCGTTGACAGACTGTGGCCCCAAATCTTGAAGTGGCATTTAAGTTTTGTAAACAGATGGTAGCTGTGAAGATAGGAATTTCCAAGATATTTCTAAGCAAAGTAGCTTTGCGTGTGATGAAATAGTTATTTCTTCCTCATAAAAAAGCTTTTTACTTTTATGTGATGTTAAGTTTATCCAATGTTTTTAGATCTGTCCTTGGAACTGAACTTTTGTAGTATTCAAACTGTGTTCTTCATTCAGAGAGGATAAAGTTGAAAAACTGAATTATTCCCCTAGTTGTTGAACTGAATTCCAGTCTGTGTTTCAGCATCAGAATGAAAGGAACTGTAGAGTGGCTGGTATTTTCTAACACCAAAGCAGTGTAAGCAGCATTGGGCCCCAAATCTTATATCAACAGTTTGTGTATGTTACTTCCCGGGCTGTAATTTTATCATTACAGACAACAGACTCAGAGGACAGTGATACACAAACAGCATGAGTTCCTTTTCTAATTTCTTGCAGGTTTTTTTTTTTTTACAAAAAAAAAAAAAAAAAAAATCCTTAGAAACGTAACTTGTATTGGTTGCTACCAATTGTACTAACAGTTTACTAACAGTGCTTTTTTTTTTTTTTTTTCTTTTTTCAATATATATATGGGACTTTCTGCTCATCATCAGACAGTTCTGTTTTTCTTCTCTTAGGGATTGTATCTGACACTGCTTTTGACATCTCTGCTTCAGTCTGATTGCTAACTTCCCAATAGCTTTTCTTCTGTAAGTTTAATATGAAAAAAATGTTTTCTATTGCATTACCATTTATTTGTTCTTGAACTGCTGTGTAATCTAAATTGCACAGCACTGAGAGTCCCTCCAGCTTTAAGAAAATTGATTCAGGCTTATGTGAGCAGTATTTTTTTTCTCTGGTGTTTCTTTTTCCTTCAATATGTATGATGAAGTAAAGTGCTTTTATTTGTTAGGTTTTAGACTTTCATACTCTTTTAGACTTTCATACTTTTAGAATCCATTGATTTAATTTTTACTACTGATTGTAGTTCTACAAGTTCTACTAAATACTACTTAGTTCTGATTGAGATTATACAGGCGTCAGTGAAAATTTGTACATCTAAACATTGCAACAACTGTTTCTTCACAGGTGGATCTACATTTTGTGGTATTGCATCGCTGTGCTTGATGGGTAAACTGGAGGAAGTTTTTTCAGAAAAAGAACTAAGTAGAATAGGAAGGTGGTGTGTAATGAGACAACAAAATGGCTACCATGGACGACCCAACAAACCTGTAGACACTTGCTATTCCTTTTGGGTGGGAGCAACATTGAAGGTAGTGTACAAAACAAATAAAGGATCATTATGAAATTGTTTTGATTTCATAGAAGTCTTTTCCAACCTTAATGATTCTGAGATCATGAAGTCCAACTATCAACCCAAAATGCAAAATACGTCCATAAGTGCCACATCTACAAGTTTTTTGAGCACCTCAAGGAATGGTAACTCCACTCTTTCCATGAAGAGCTTGTTCTAATACTATTTCTTTCTGCTAGACTGTGTAGGGAGGGGGTCAGGAAGGCCAAGGCCCAGCTATAACTGGACTTGGCAAGGAGTGCAACGAAGAACAGAACAGAAACAAGAGGTTTCTATAGGCACGTCAAGCAAAAAAGTCCAAGAAGGCATCTCCAGTTCCTTATCCTTAAACACGATATTATTTCTTTGCAAGGAGGAGTTTCATCTTTGGCATGTGTACATAAATGTGCATAGATCTGTAAAGATTTTTCATCTTGCAAACAGGCTTACCAAGTTAATGCTAAATTGCCCTATATATATCCTTAAATAGGCACTGTATTTTAATGTTAATAATACACTAAGATTTGTTATCTTACTGTCTTACTTCTTTTTAGCTCTTGAACTTATTCCAATACACAAATTTTGAGAAAAACAGAAACTACATCCTCTCAACTCAAGATCGCCTTGTTGGTGGATTTGCCAAGTGGCCAGATAGCCATCCAGGTAAAATTATTTTTCAAAATCATTATGAGCATTAAAGCTGAAAGTACGTTCCAGCAGTCAGACATCTGAGGGATGTAAGGAAAGATTTTTTCTCCAGTCTACTTCAAAAATTATATTGAAAAAAAAGAAAATAAGAACTATAATGAGATTTTCATGATTTAAAGGGAAAGCTGGTGGTTGTTTTCTAATTTCTAAAGGAGTGCCACTATCTGCTTAGAGCTGGAGAAGCCTTTCTATATGTATTTAACTGTTCCAATTAAAGAACATGTTATTCAGCGGATAAATTCATGAATGGTTTAAGCAAAATATTTCAGACCATTTATTTCCTTGATAACGTAATCCTTTTGAAGTTTATTCAGAAGCTGTAGCTATATTTTAAAATAATCTACTCAAAGTATGACCTGTTGTAGGGAACCTGCTTTACATGGGGTAAATGGATGGATAGATACCCTCTGTTCCCTTGAATGCCGTCTTGGGTTTCCTGAGGTCTAGCTATTTTTAAAGCTCTGTAGTGTGTAGACCAGTCAGTATCACTTGGAGAAAATAATTCTATTTGTCATTCATTAATGTGACATTCCTGCCTGAATACTTGTTGTTTCCCATACAACAAGCTTTTACTGTCTCTTACCTTTACTAATCAGAGTCATCTGCTTTTGAACTTGAATGTCCTGACTGCCTAACAGAAAGGGAACAGGAGGGTTGAACTAGGGTACTAAGAATTTACCAGGTTGTTCTATGAATGTACAGAAGTTTTGCTGGCATTCCAATTTTTTTGTAGCTATGACAATCTATACAATGTGTGTCTTAGAAAAATTGTGCATCTTTAGGAATTTTTTGTTATTTATCAGTGATATGTTTGGTACTACTGAATTTAAATACTCCAGGATTTTTTCCAAGAAATGAAAAGAAGTGTGTTTATTGCTAGATTCCTTCATCGGGCAGATGGTGTCATAAGTCTGTGTGCATGTTTTGAAAGAAAGAATAGTGCATCTCTAATCTGAGTATATGAGTATAAATGCAACATTACAAAATTTGTTTCTATGTATCTGTAATTTCAATGTCATGTACACAACTGATTCAACTGATTTTCTTACAGTAACTGAAAGGCAAGCTGTCTGTTTCAGTGTTTGAATGTTTTCCACAACCAAGATTTCAGACTTTACTAAAGCAAGCATTTGTGTTGTGCAGCATCGCTGTTGTCCAAAGCTCTGTTGTCAGAAAAAAACAATGTGAATCAGAACATAACTGTTTTCTTTATAATGATCTCTACGTTTGTCAAACATAGGAATGGTTTCTGTCTCATAAACCTTTGGAATATCACAGTGGTAGTATTATTGCTGTTTTGTAGACGTGGCATGGGTGTTGGCTTTGTCATTCATGCTTCAAAACAGAACTGAGCACTTAACAGTGTTTTATTAAGTTCTTTATTTACTGATAAACATAGCTGAACATGTCTGTGTGGGACAGTGTACCATGCAGTACAATATCAAGTTCAGCCATAAAAGAGGAAGGGGAAACTGAGTTACACAGTTTTGTCTTCCATGTAACCTTTATGTGTGATGACCCCTGCTCTCAGGGGAGAGTCTGGGCACCTACCTACTAATGGGAAGTAGTGAATGAATGCTATGTTTTGCTTTGCTGGCACATTCTGCTTTTGCTTTGCTTGTTGATATCTTTATCTCAGTTGAGTAGTTTTCTCACTTCTGCTCTTCCTTTTCTCATCCACCATCACACCAGCAGTGTGGAGGAAAAGAGAGAAAGCAACTGTGTGGTGCTTAGCTGCTTACCCAGATCAAACATAGCTAAAACATTTGATTTTATTTTTACTATTTCAGACTTAGGTGTAAATCATGACTAGATTTAATAAACTTTTATGTTAATACAAATACTGCTGCATGACCCCGGGCAGTGGTGCAGCAACTCTTGTGCATCTCATTTGTTTTCTGTAAATGATAAACAGTAAAGAGTACTGGAAGCCTGCATGAATTAGAATTGTTGCAGGAGAAGGATAAAATGATTTAACAATTACCAAAGTAATGAAGTAAAGCACTGAAGTGAGGTTTGCTCTGTAGAAGTATTGATTTGCATAACCCCTTGCTTTGGTGTTACACAGTGTTGTAACTGCAGCTGAGCAGCTGCAGAGTTTCATGATGTTTCCGTTGCTTGTGAGTTGCTAATGAAACAGAACACTTAGACTGAATGTATTTCAGCCTTGATCTTTTATAGCTTGTGTCCAGGTCTGGAGCCCCCAGTACAAGAAAGACAGTCAGCTGTTGGAGAGGGTCCAGAGGAGAGCCATGAAGATGATACAGGGGGCTGGAGCACCTCCCCTATGAAGACAGGCTGAGGGAGCTGGGCTTGTTCAGCCTGGAGGAAAGAAGGCTGTGGGGTGACCTCATTGCAGCCTTTCAGTACCTAAAGGGAGCCTACAAACAGGGAGGGGAATCAGCTCTTTGAAAGGGTTGGATGCAGTACTGCAGGACAAGGGTTTGAAGTTGAGGGAGGGAAGATTTAGGTTGGATGTCAGGGGGAAGTTCTTTACTGTGAGAGTGGTGAAGTGCTGGAACAGGCTGCCCAGAGATGTTGTGGATGCCACGTCCCTAGAGATGTTCAAGGCCAGATTGGATGGGGCCCTGGGTAGCCTGGTCTAGTATTGAATGGGGAAGTTGGTAGCCCTGCGAGTGGCAGGGGGATTGGAGCTTCATGATCCTGGAAGTCTCTTCCAACCCGGGCTATTCTGTGATTCTGTGAAACAGATGAGTACACAGACTTCTAATGGTGTTTTTGGTAAGATTAACAAGTATTAAGTTGTTATGGATTTGCACATCTGTTGAACTTTTGATTAAACCCACCAAACAGCCATATACAACTGTTAGCTTTGTACATGGTTTTTAGTGCATATCAACAGCAGTTGTCTGCAGGGGTTAATATACTTGCACCTCCTGAAGCCAAGTTCTCCCTGTCTAACATATTCAATTGCATGGTCAGTTATCAAGCCACTTCATTAATTTCTGTTTTACGGGTATTTGCTCATGAAGAGGAAAAGATAGGTAAAATGATGGTATATATATTCAAGATATTTATAGATGTATATATAATGTATTCTGTATTTTATATTTCTGAGTCTTGCTGTTTGACAGCTTTTGCTGCTTTTGATTTTTTATTTTTTTTTTTAGTCAACAGTCCACTACATAGTCAGTCAAAAAGCTCTGCTGTGTTTGGGGGAAAAAACATTTGCTCTGTTGAAGGAAATTGTTTCTAGCTCTTCAAATTCTTTTGTTTTTTGGTTTGAGCAATAGGAAGAAATTAAGTAGTGGACAAAAATTGCTCTAACATAAAACATCTCTATCTTAAAGATTGTATAGTATGAGTTCATGCTGGAGGTTTTGAGCAGAAATTGTTTATGTCAAATCTCGCATGTCAAACATAGCACGTATGTTTTCCTTGTCTGTGATTGTTCAGGGGTGCTGGATTCCAGGAGCACTTGTCTGCTACAACCAAAAAGGCACATGATTTTATATTTCATTTTCTGTCCTGCTTTCAGATGCTTTGCACGCCTACTTTGGGATCTGTGGCTTGTCGCTAATTGGAGAAGCTGGTATCTGTAAAGTTCATCCTGCCCTGAATGTAAGCACAAGAACCTCCGAGCGCCTTCACCACCTTCACCAGATGTGGAAAACAAGGACTCTAAGCAGTGTTCAGACAACATGCACATCGCTACGCGACTGATTTAGACTCAAATTTAGTTCTGGTAGCATAATTGTAGCCCAAGGTTAAAAGCCATGTATAACCAATGTGCTCTTTTAAGTGCTGGAGTCATGCAATCAGATCTGTGTTGCTGGCATTGCTTTGATAGGGGATTGCCTTCAGCGGGTTATTCTGCATTGTGGGAAAAAAAGGAGATATTTTGATTATATAGGAGTTTGTCACTGCAGACTGTAAATGGCTCTTCAAATGGCTTTATGTCTAAGAAATTCCTTGAGGCAATTAAAATTCATTTTTATTTTATTTTTTAAAACTTGTGCATACTGTGTCAAAGTATATAATAGGAGAGTATTTTCAAAATCTGTTTACATATCATACAGTATAGCACAAAACCTTGGGGATCTTTTTGATTTTAATGTCTTACATATTTTTGGGTAGAGAATCTCCCATATTAAATCTCAGTTAAAAGTTACCTTTTACTGTCTACTTTCAGATTCCATAAACTTTGTTAAAAAAAAAAAATCAAATAAATACAAATAAAATTATTTTATTCAATATTCTGCACTTCTGAAGTTGTGTGGCCTTACTAAATGAGTTTTACAAGTCTCCTGAGTGCCTGCTGCATGGATGCGATGGATTGTTAGCTCAGATGTCTTTATTTGAAATTCTGTCTGCATGGGATATTAGTAAGAACGTGTTGTATTGATACAGGACATGAGCTATAGTTGCTGAGTTTTTGTTTTCCTGGTCTCTGTCTAATTCATTTCTGAATTTATTAAATGGCAAGGGCCTGTTGCCTTGTGAAGCAACACATCTTTTCTACTGAGCTGCAGATCTCAACATTAGTGTCTTCTTTTTGTTGTTGTTTTTGCAAGCCAATCACATGTCCTGGCTGAAGAACTGTCCACACAGCAACAGCATCAAAGAGCACAGAGCATGAAAACCTCCAGTTGCATTCCCCAAATGCAACAAAAATCCCACACTACTGCTTGATTTCTGAAGCAGTGGTGAAATGCCTTCTTTGGTAACTGCAGTGTTAGACCAGCCTTTAGAAATTCATCTGTAGGTACCAACTCTATACTTCAGAAGACAAAAAGTGGTAATTGTAGGTAACTGAAGAATGAGTATGATCCCAAAGAATTAAAAGGCATGTCTTAATAAGCAGGAAATTTTTCAAGGAAGAGAAAATCTGTACAAGAGCAGTCTTCAGCCTCCAATTTTTGAGAATTCCAAAAGCATGGGAGGGGTTTGTGGCAAAGAAAGAGCACTCCATTTGCTAAACCAGGCTGTTCAAATGTACAAGCAGAAGAAAGGAACAGTATGCAGAGTCTTGTTTTTATCAGTTGTGGTTGTATGTATGTGTGTGAAGGTGGCTTCCTTGTGAACTCTTATCAGCAGTGAACTAGAGGCTCGGTGTTGAGACCAGGAGGCTATTCTCTGTTTGGTTAAAACAGCAGTGAGCTAGCAGTGCCAGGGTTGAAATACCCTCGTAAGATAGTCTGGAGGCCTTCGTGCAGGTATTTCTGTAAGAGCCATCGCTGAGTTTCCATCCAACAGCATGGGTTACACAGGCTCTGCCCTGTGAGGGAGTATCCTTATCATTTTACAAGGAATCCACAAAAACACAACTTGAAAATGCCTTGAAGGCAAGGCACATCTTTTATGTTTGTTACCTCAATGCTAAGTGGGAATGGTAGTTACACTGCCTGGGAAGCTAAATATGCTAAATATGCTGTTGAAATTTCCTACTTTGGGGTAATTTGGAGATCTTCTTAAGCAAAGAGCTATATTTGTTTGGTGTTATACTTCCATGAGTCTTCATTTAGCAACTTTCTTTGAATTATGACCATACCTTACAAAAATAGGCTCCTTTAACAAAATTACATTTTAATTTTGAACCCAGCCTTTGTGCTGCTTATTATACCATTATTATAAAGCTTCCTTCAGCCTCATCATGGAGGAGCATCACACTGATAGGCATCTGTATAAACCTCCTGCCCAAGGAAGGTATATGGTTTTTACCAGGGGTGTTGTTTCATGTTGGATTGGACTTGCAGCCAAGAACAGCGTACAGACACACGGTTTATGCTGCCTTGGGGCAGTTTGGCAGATTCTACAGAACCCTTTTAGCCTGTATTTTTACCAATAAAAGTTCTTTCATTCCACCTAATTGTTCTTTGTTTCTTCCCTTCTGTCTTTAAGCTCACGTGAAGGATGGTTTTGCTGGTAGGACTGTTCAGCTGCAAGGCTTTCCAGTACAGCCACTAGGCTTTCCCGTGCTTTTGCATGTGGTTGGCTGAAGGAGATTCCTGACATTAGCCTTATCTGGAGCAGGCAGAAAAAATAGTAAAGGAAGCCTTTTATTTTGTGTCTGTAAAATGTGCTGTGATGTCAGCTGCTCTGCAGAAGATCTTTGTGCTGCAAATGCTGGCTACAGAAGGCCTTAGTCATGAGCTGATTAATGTCCTCTTTTTTTCGCAGTTTTTTTCATCCATCCCAGCTCTAGATTAAAATAGTAGAAAGGCAGAAAATAATGCAGTATTTCTAACAGGTGGGAGAAGCGTTTCTCTCGAGGAAGCCTCTGGAAGCATCCTCTCCCTGCAGAGCAACATGCATGTGCCTTGTTGGACTTTCCTTCCCAGCAAAGTAAAACAGCTGTGACTTGGTGGGAGCAGTGCACTGCAGCTGCATCAGAGGGGAAACATCCCCCTGCCAGGCTGCTGCACCACAGAGACAGATGTCAGTAAGGCTCATCTTTCCTTGTCTTCACCCAATTCCCTTGTCTCTGATTTAATTAGATGAATTATCTAAACCAATAGGACCAGTAATTAAAACTCAAGTGTTTTAATTTTTGTTAAAATTGTAGATACCTGAAATTCTGTTTATGTTGTCAAACATGATTAAATGTTGTAGCAGAAATGCCAATTATTTATTCATAGTATGCATCATTACTGATTCTGTATAAATATGTAATGGCATACTCAATACATTAAATATTTATAGTAGTCTGGATACTTGACCTATATTCCTTAAAGAGCTTCTTAGGAGCGTGTGGGGTTGTACCAGTGTCATATGGGACAGTAGAGAAGAAAGCATCAGACAATTTTTCATGTAACACAGATGCAGTTTTAGCTCTGTAACTATATCAAGGTATCTATATAGGCAGATATAGGGATATTTATAGATTATATAGATACCTGCGGATACTTGAAAATAACAAAAGGGCTGAACACAAGTCAGACCTGCCCTTTGCTGAACACAGGAGAACAAAAAGTCTTCCTCCAAAATACTGTGAACTTGAAATTCTCTTTTAATATTGCTGCATTTGCCTTAGAGCAGCTGCAGCCAAAAGTAAAAGGAAATGTGAAGTAAAGTCTAAGGATGTGCAAAAATACAGACCACAGCCTGTACAGGCAGCTATCCCATGAGGAGAGACTTGTGTTACCCTGAAAAAATAAGCAAACTGCCTCTAACATCTGCATGTAGCTGGAAGAAACTCATTTGTGAGAAAGTGCTCTGCAGCTCTAACCAAGTACCCTTATTCTCCGTGAATGATCTTGCTTATCTTGATAGATGATGCTTTATTGCTTCCTTCTGTTATGTATATGGCCACAGCACCAAGGAGCTGTGCAGGCACTCTGCTGGCTGGCTGCCACTGGCAGTGAGCACTTGGCAGAGACTCTACCAGCGTGCCATCTCCTGTAATGTGAGTACCTCTCTATTAAACTGATTAATATTAACTTGCCTTTCTTCGGGATCAATAAACCTTATGCAGAAGCCCTGATGCTTTTGCACTGCAGGGTGAGACTGAAGTAGCCTTGGAGATGCCTCAGTATGTGGTGTGGCTTGTTGCTATTCATAAGCTATATTCAGTGTTACATGTTTAATGATCTTTTTGGTTTTGCCAGTATCCATCGGAACAAGGAATGCAGAAGTCAGTCAAAAATCATTCCAACCGTCAGAAGGTGTCGTGCATGGCAGTTTTTCTTCTGCTGGTGACAATTCCCATCATTATCATTCCGTGAAAGAAAGCTATTTTCATACAATTCACAAACTGTTCACACAGAATCTGTTTGTTGTTGCCTAATTTGTGCGTAGGCCTCTGAACTCTTCCAGGAGAATTAAAGTGGACTACAATCCTTACCCAGAGCATTCATGCTTGGAAATGTGTATTTTATGGTGGATTTTTTTTGTTGTTTTATTTGTGATTTCCAAACATACAGTGAAGTAGTTGATAAAAAACACTGGCACCCTTTTCCAATATTTATGATATCTCCTTTCCTGCTCTCTCTGCTGCTCTGGTTTGTGACAACTGTCTGTGACAGTTGAGCCCTGTGAGATGGCAGTGCATCTGCACAGCTCCATTTCGCCAATGAATTCATTACTTGGGGACATTACCAGGAGACTCCCTAGTCTGGTTCAGCCCTCTAGTTATTACCTCTTACAGACAGTTCAGGCTGGCAGCAATGAAATTGCTGAGAGAAGCCTGAGAACTGTCAAAAGGGACATCAGGGCATTGGGACAGCCAGCTCATGGGGCAGCTTAATTCAGCGCCTGGCCTGATGTCTGTGGATGGGTTTCACCTGCCTTAAAGGGGGAAATAGATCCTAGCCCAGGAGCTGGTAAGGCTCACTGAAAGGGCTTTAAACTAGGTACGAAGGGGGAAGGTGTTAAAACAAGGCCTAATAGAGATGATCATCCCTCTGTACTCAGCTTTGGTGGAGCTGCGCCTCAAGTATTGTGTTCGGTTTTGGGCTACTCAATACAAGAAAGACATCAAGGCCCTGGAGCATGTACAGAGAAAGGCAATGAAACTGTGAGGGGTTTGGAGCACAAGTCTTATGGGGAGTGGCTGAAGGAGCTGGGATTGTTTAGTCTGGAAAAGAGGAGGCTCAGGGGTGACCTTATGGCTCTCTATAACTACCTGAGGGGAGGTTGTGGTCGGGTGGGGGTTGGCCTCTTCTCCTGCATAACTACTGATAGAATGAGAGAGAATGGCCTCAAGCTGCACCTGGCGAGCTTCAGGTTGGATATTAGGAAAAATTTTCTCTCCAGAAGTGTCATCAAGTACTGGAATGGGCTGCCCAGGTGTAGGAGATATTTTTAGATGTGGTACTAAGGGGCATGGTTTAATGGGAAATACTAGTGGTAGGTGGATGGTTGGACTAGATGACCTCAGCGATTTTTTCCAATCTTGGTGGTCCTATGGCTCTACTATAGAAGAAATGCCCCTTCTCTGCTCAGCACTGAACTGCTGGTATCAGTTCTTTCTACATGGCAATCTATGGTAGTGCCCATGTTGGGCAGATTTTCCTCAAGGCACGGTGACCAATAAACTGGTGTAGTGTGCATGTGTATGGTGGGAAAAGACCCTTCTGAGGACTGCTACTGAAGATGCATGTTTGAGTGGATTATTTGTATTATGAAAATAGGAAAATACTTCAAAATCCCAGGGGAGGGAAAAAAAAAAACAAAAAAAACAAAAAAACAAAAACCATCAGGCTTTACTGCACAGATGAATTCAGAAAAAAAAAACTAGATGGAAGAGATCATCCAGAAAATCTAGAGCTGTCACTGCTGTCCTGGGAGAATCAGTGCAACTCACAAGCCAAGATACATTCATTTCCTTTATAATTTGCTTTCCATATCAATGTGTCAAGGTAAGTGTTGTGCTGCATGACATTGTATAAAACCATACAAATTCATTTATTTCTGTGGATAATAGGGCCCAGGATCCTTGCTTTTTTGGAGATGCTCCCTGTCTAAGTGATACGAAGGAAATTAAATCTCTTTACTGTTTCAGTTCAGAAAAACATGTTGTGTTCTGAGTTTGATAATTTCCTGATTACCAAAGTTTTGAATTAATTTTCATATATCTAGGTTCCATGGAAAAGAACCAACGTGAGAGATGAAACCAAGGAACAGAAGAATAAAAAGCACATTCCTATCTGTGATTTATATGGAAGTGGTGAGGGGTTTCCAGCTGTTTCTGCCCCTGAGCACCATGTCACAAAGGTTGCATGAAAGGTAGCTGCAGCTGCCAGAAGGGATCACGGCCCACAGGCTGCCAGCTGTGACACAGAGGTGCCCATCTCTCTCTGGGCCTCCAGGTGCACCTTCCCCTCTCAGCGTGCTGCTGGGTGGTGAGGGGAAGGTGAGCACAGGCTTTCCTTCATCCCAGGGCAGGCAGACCATTACCTCTGACTCTCTCTGTGGTCTCATTGTGCTGGTTGACTTTGTGACCAGGGTTGCATTTGCATCTCCCTGCAATGACAGAGGGGATGGATAGGACTCCAGCATGCTTCTACTCTAAGAAGAGTTTGGTGGCGGCTGTAACATTGGGCCAGTCTGTCAGAACAAGGCATGGGCAGGTGGAAGGAGGGAAAACAGAATTTCCCCTTCTGTCCAAAGCCCCTGCAGTTCAGCCTAGTCTAGCCATCAATCACATTGTAGCAGAAAAACAGAAACCAGTGCGGTATGGCAGAAAACCTTGAGTGAGCAGCAGACATCCAGGGCAGGAAGCTCACCATGCTGGTGCAATTCATGGCCTGAAAGAAGCACATGACAGCCTGCTGGAGTACTGGTGCTGCTTATCTCAAACTGCAGCCCTGTCTCTGGCCAAGCAGGCTTTAGTGCAGAGGGCCACTGAATGAAAGGCTGCAGTGGTGAGCAGGAAGGGCTGTAAATTTCTCAGCTTTTTGCATAGCCTCTCATCATTGATCAGAACAATCCAGGTTTATTTGTTGCTGAGTTATGGTTA